ATGATGTCATGGCAGTTGATAACAATGATAATCCTGCACATACTAAGAGGCACTATGTGCAGCTGAAAACAACATACAAGAAAAGTACTGGTGCCAAATGCGAGGCCATGCAGTGGAAATGAGGCATTAAGTAAAGCAAGAGCTACCAATTTACTGGCCACCAGGGGGCAGCACTAATAAGCGGAGACCCCGCTGACATATACCTTGTATATTTTGAATTAAAATGACAAGCTTAGCAAGCAGTTGATTATTACACATTCAACAGATGTGGCGCGAAATACAAAATGTAAATGTAAATGTACAAAAATACATGTATTTGTGTTCACTGCCCCCCTGAACAGTAAATAGATGATGCATTGGACTTTTGGACATTGGCTTTTATGAAGGTATTGATTACCCATTTGGCTAAAAGCTTTCAGTCCTGCCACATTTCCACTCTGTGATAGCTCGGCTGTCAATGAGTTAAGAATGCATTTTTCATCTGGGCTTTAATTAATCTAAACTCTGCTTCCTACATATTTATTCTGTTGCTATAAGCTTCTTCCGTTCTGACACGTTGGTACACTCCCACTGCGGCCCACGTCTCATTTATCAGTACTTGTGTACTACCACATGAGCACCAGCACCACAGTGTTTTGTCACCCCACCGCCATAACTCCTTTTACGGTCCTCACAGAGAACACGGTGCGTGTAATTAGCTTGTCTGTCACCACACCAGTGGGAATGAAAGGGCACCTCGTGACCCCTGGGCCAGGCCTGTTCAAAGGTCAGCTAAGGGCCAGCTGTGTGACCAGTGAACACACATCATCTGTGAGCGTGAGCCTCACACAACCAAGCTCACGCAGGTCGTCTGAGGCTCATTATAGTTTCCAGTGCATCTTTGGGTTTAACGACCTACAGTGACACAGTGGATAATGTGAAAGAAGGCTAAACAGCCGCCTTTATGGGCCGGAGACGAGGTCTGGCTTCCCTCTCCTCTTTGCTACATTACTGTAAGGTCGAAGGGGTGAATGTGGCCCTGGGGACGGAAGCCAGTAGATGATGATGGGCTTTATTGAGAGTGACATTTAAGATAGGAACGACATCTAGTGTGGCACCGCAGTGCCCTGTGGCAAACCACCACATGGAGACAATGTCAGCACAATCTGATTTAAGCCCTAAAACGCAGCAGATCCCCACAACCCCACACACACACACACGCAAACACACGCACGCACACACACAAACAGACATATCTCTTACACATGTCAACTGCATCGCATGTCAAGTGACAGTAAACAAGATCTGCCACATTCCAGATGTGGATGTGCTGTTCTTGCCTTGAGGGTGGATTAAGCTGCATGTGATTTGTATGAAATACATAAAAAACTGTTCTTCTATTTTTCTTTTCATGGAAATTCAAATTTGTGAGATCATCTAAACATCTAAATCCCATTAGCTACATTTGAAAACAGCTAAATTTGGCAGCGGTGTCCTGCTCCTCCAAGAAAATAGGTTTCATATCGTACAGGAGCAAAACAGCCGTGACGGGAATTACAATTGTCGGGGCAAGGAGCTGCATCACTCGGCACGTCGGCAAGCCTCAAAATCCAATTATGGAATACAGACATGGCACAGTGACCTTTGACTCAACATTCAAATGGTCAATTTCAGCAGAACTCACAGAGCCACTGGAGACGTGAGAAACACTTTTTTCCCCTCTCGCTGAGAGCTTATCTTGAACCGCAATATTATTCTTATAAGAGATCTGTTTTGTGCCCTGCGTAAGTCATCAGAACTACAACTCCCAAGGAGAATGGAGATCAGATAGGGAGGTCCAGGCAACAAGGACGGGGAAACCATTTAAAGGTGACATTTCAGCCAACGCAGCAGATGCCGCCAATCTATCTTCCCTCGGCTCGATCTCCCGCCCTTGTTTCACATCCCTCTCTCTCTCTCTGCCTGCACAGCTCTCTTTTTTGGCTTTCTTCTGCTTCCCTCCTCATTCCTCCCTCTGCCCATCACACCCCCACCCACCCCCCCGCCCCGTGACGTGCTGACGAGGCAGCAGGGGAGGAAGCAGTGTAATAAAAGGAAGAGCTCATGAAAGGTCAAGCGGGGTCAACGCGCTCACATACCTTTGCCGGATAAAGGGTAAGAGAGGTCATTTATTCCTAGGGGACAAACTGTTTCACTTTTTGACGGGCGGGGGTTGTGTGTTGAAAGTTCAAAAGGTTGCAATAAAGGACGCCGGGGTCATAGCCTATGGACTGGGATTCGGCACGTCCTGTGGTCAGAGGTCGGCGCAGGAATGCTGGGTAAACGGGGGGTTGGAAGGGGGGGAGCAAAGGTGTTGTTTCTGACCCCCGTTTGGACGGACATCTCTACGACTAGAAGTCAGACTATACCTGCAGCAGCAGGCGGAGGGTGTAACTCTCATTTGATATCTTAAATATAACGGGAGATGATGAATCACAATATATTGAAACTGTAACAAGAAGAATTTGATTGAGAAGCGTTGTCGCTGCGTTGTATAAAATGAATGCAACTAATATAAGCTCCCTCGACACTCATTCCAGACTCAAAATTGAGAAGATTACTCCTTACAAATCCGAGCAATGGTTTAAATAAACACATGTAGAATATTTAAGATTATGGAAGACAGAAAAAAACAAATGTTCCCACCCATGTTATTACTGTGGGAAGTATTGAAAGTATCAGTCTAGAACTCAGATCGAATGGCAGCTTGAATCACTAGGTGCGACACTGCCACCTACAGGAGACGTTTCAAACAGGCAGCATGATACACCTGCCTGATCTGTGTGACACCTGAGCTCAGGGAATGACCCAATGAATGAAGGGAGGTCAATGCAGGGGTCGTTTTTAAAAATTTGAATCACTTAAAAATTAAGACATTAACTAATCACCAAAATAAACATACAAATGCAAACCTCCAACAGATCTTTAATTGTATTCTGTACAAAAAGGCCATGGTCGTATACATATATAATATATCATGGGAAGGACAATAGGCCCTCAATCAATGCAATGATAAAGATAAAAGCGGTACACATGTGCTAGAAGAAGGAAACTCATGTGGAAGACTAAAGCTTGTATAATCAAGATACACAGTAAATGACCCGAGAGCTGCCGTATATTAATAATCACAATGTGCATTAAAGACCCCAGAATGAATTGAGGAAGTTGTACTTAACGTGGTAGGAAAAGGTAATAAACACTATAATGTAACATTTTGACCAAAGATGAGAATTTCCTGACTGAAATTCTTACCATTAATATTATATTGCGATGTAATGTAATAATATGGCTTTTTGTGCAGCGTTATTCATCTTCTGATGGCGTCAGGGGGCCACTCTGGTCTAATGGACCACATACTTCATTCTCACACACTCACTCAAATAGAGGGGGGTTTCTTTGACTGACTCAAGCCAACTTGCCGTCAGTTATAAATATCCAATCAATAAAACAGGGAGTTTACATTTCCAGAGATGAAATATGTTCAAAATATTACTGTTTGAAGTTGGCAAACCTGAATCTCCAGTATCAGAAATTTGTATTGCTGAGTTTATATTATCAATCAAATTGAATGTCCTCACTTTACTGGGAAATATGTTGTTACAACATCAGGGAGGACATTTTTTATATTATTGGTGGAGTTATAATATTATTGGGTTTTTGATCGGGCCTAGTGCAAATTTCATAATTTTTTTAAGGAAATTATTTTATTTTTGGGCCGTGCAATGGTCCTTGCTGACTTTTAATAATTCCATCACAGTAAATAGACTGTAACCCTTTCACGGTGTTTTCACTTCACATCTGTTGACTCAAAATGTCATCTTCGGTGCTCGGTTATATTTAGCTGCTTTCTCTCGAGTCACTTGTGTGGTTTGAATAAACAAGGTTGAAACGGACAAAAGGCGAACCTCCAAACAGCATTCTATAAATGAATGGGTGACATCACAGTAAATAGGCCCACTGGTTAGAAACAGTCTGTGGGTTAAAACACCGTCCATTTCAGGGTTTGGGAAGAGGTTTCAAGTGATTTCAAAGAGGTGTCCACAAACATCAGCTCGATTGTCACACTGAAGCTTTTCTCTGACTGTGACAGATGTTCTGCAGCAGCTGCCATGACATATACAGCTATATATAAGCTATACCATAAGCATTTCAATATGCTGCAGTACTTATAGTAAATTCTGGGGTAAGATAAACTATAGCATGTCATGGATAAAACCAGACCCCTTTGTTTGGTTTGCACGCACACATTGGGATATACACGTTTATATATGTACGTGTTTGTTAGCAGAGCTCCGATCACAACAACATGGAAGGTCGTCTTTGTCTCTGGATGAGAGAAAAAAAGACAGAGGGTGGACTGGGGAAAGATCAGGGGGGGCCAGGGGGGCTTTCAAGGAGAGATTAACAATGAGCCCAACATCAATAATGATTGTGATAATGTTGTTTTCTGAAGCCTGTTCACGGACTGAAGAGTAAAGAGTTACAAGCTGAGAAGAAACGATTTGGGAGGGTTGCATTTAGAGATTTGATTGATTTGCATTACCTGAAGCACCGCGTGGAAGAGACACACGTTTGTGTAGAATCACCATGTTTGTGTAGAATCACCATGTTTGTGCAGAATCGCTGTAGTTCTGGGAGATGAAATCATGCCTGAAAGCTGTTTTCTAGTTTAATCGCCCTCGCAATGATGGCACTCACAAACTAGTGAAAGATGTTGGATTAAAGGTATTCCTGGACTGATTACAAAGTGTATTATGCAAACCTTGTTCAGACATGTAAAAACAGGTTGCAAGCCTCAAGGGTTTTTTGTATTATTTGGATGCCTTTTTGTGTTTAACCTTGCGTATAAATCTCCATCAGGTCGTGATCATGATCACTTCGGACACATGGCTGTCATTGTCTTGTTGTTTGCAGGCAGACAGCGATGGCTCACTGCATAAATTGGATTATGCGAGGGATTTGAGACTGGGATTAGGTCTTTGGCCCGTGAACAGTGTGGGGGCTGCGCGTGTGTTGGAGCGGGAGGGTGGTGGCGCGTGAAAGCGTGTTTTACGCATCCCAGAGGCCACAGCGTGTGCAACTTGTCTCCACTCGCCTCTATTGTCTCTTTGGCCGCGGAGCTTCCATCATGAACCTTTTCTGCTTCACACTGGTAAGATACAAATGAGTTCATGTTTGATGTACCGGGGGAGGTGTGGGGGGGGAGGGGGTGGCTTTGGAATGATGGAAGCTCAGGTGAGCGGCTGAGACTCTGCGTGTCCCGCTGCGGGACACGCAGAGTGTGGGGGGGGGGGGGGGGGGGGGACTGTTGATGTGCTGGTTGTTGACAAGGATCTGGAGGGTCTCCCCGGGGAATGGGACAAAAAACCTCCTCGCTCTGTAGGAGTCATCGTGGTCCTCAGATGGAGTCTTCCTGTGCTGGATCAAGCATGTGTAGTTATGATTTTTTGTATTTGTTCATTGTTATTTGATTTCCAACTGATCTTACATAAATATTATTTCTTGAATTTCTTAGGAGTCGATAGGAATGGAAATGCATCTGCTTTAAGAGAAGCCACTTTTGATATGATCATTGTTATGCCAACAGGATGAATGAATGTTAATTGAGCATGCAGTCTTTGTTGTGTGGTTGAGTTGCCTCAATCAGCCTAACAAGCCTATCGCATTTGTTTCCTATGCAGGCAAATTAGAAATATACCATTCACTGCTGCAGGACCACCTTTGCAAAGGTGCAGTGTATTTTTCTCGCAAGCCAATCAAAGGCTGGGCTTTTTGGGGACAGTCTGGGACAGGCACTAAAACAAGAGCAGGATGTGAAAAGAAACCTTAAAAAAACAGGTGTAAAATGTGTGTTGCTGTAGAAAATACACTTATTTTCTTAACACAAAAGAGTAATTCGAAATGATCAGATCAATAATCGGAAATGAAATGGCAATCATTTATTTGCAGGGATGTTTGTTTGATTATCAAGCGTTTTTGAAGAATTCCAGCTGAAATAAATGTAATGATGGTGAACAAGAATCTTTGGCAGCTGATGCAGTTATAATAGAGTTTTCCTTAACTTCCAATAAGCTTCTTTACCCCACAAATTACACCTGATCATGCACGTTTCTCGAACATGGCCAGACATTTTGACTAAATGGATGTGATCATGGCGGACTGCGGACCTCAGACCTAATAAATTAAAAGACAAGTTTATTGAGCAAAAAATTGAACATGTTTGAGTGACAGGCTGTTCGAGCTAAATAATAACATCAGTGTGTAGATGCTGCACCATTTGAAGACATTGCTCCTTGATGTAAAGCTTTCAATTGATTTCCTATAATTGGACTGATGATTGATTCCAAACAACTTCTCCTTGATGAGCCACAGCAAGAGGATACATTTAGCTGGACAATTTGAATGCTGCCCATCTGCGTTGTTTCAACCAGGCTGCAGTTACCATGCAGACTGTATTATGTGTCTCTCAGGATGGCTCCACAGAAAGCATGTATGAACCGCCCTACGGAGCATCACTCAAGGAGCTATACCCCAAGTACCCGTGCAGCCCTTCTCTTCACCGGTGTAAACTCGAACGGGACGGCTCAGATCCAGCCATCAGTTCTGTAAGTTTATATGTTTTATTCAGATCAGAGAACTAAACATTCAAACCGCTTTGATTGAAACATTTCAAATTTCTTGTCTCACCTTCCAATAGTTCTAGATATACATTACTTCAGCCGATATAACTCAGTGATATTGTGGTTAATGGCCATGTCGATGTGTCTTTGAGCAAGACACTTAACCCCAAATGGCCCCCAGAGGCTGTGCTGATGTTGTGTAAATGTGTTTCTGCTGGGCAGCTGCAACCTTGTAGGATCCCACCTGCCCAGTATCAGTATGAATACTACTAACCGGTGTATCTTCCAGCTTGGGTAAAATCGAGCTAGTGCAGAGACCCCCACGCCTGCTACGACAATACCAGGCTCCACATCAACTGGCTAAATGCTAGTGGATTATTGAAATGTCCCTTTCCTTTTTGATTTTGTGAAGATGTGTCTGTCTCTGTTCTTTCAAGGACCGAACTCAGGCTACAATAAAAGTAAAGCGGAATAACAGAAGGTATGTGAGTTTTGTTTTCTTTTAATAATGCCTTTCTTAAAAAAAAAAAATATTTAGATTGTCTGTGTTTTGGAATGAACTTGTTTCCAATAAAGAAATAAAAATATCTGTCATCATCATTTAGGTCATGTTTGCCGACATTACCCTCGGACGATGATGCAATAGGTTGGTACAAAGTGTTGGCAGTCTCTTATGATCATGATTTTCTGTCAGACTTTTTGCAAAAGCAAATCCAGGCTCACATTACTCATATTGATTCCATTATGTTGAACCTTTCTGCATGCAGTTCAAATGAAACCACTTTCCAACTGCTTTTCCCTTCCGCCACATTGTCTGCTTCAGACGGCGACAGTAATTACACCTGCTGGATGTCAAGAAGAAAGAAGAACTTTTCTCATCACATGAGAGGTAAAAAGCTAATACACACAAGACATGATCTATTCAAATTGGAGATTAGAGTAAAGCATATCAGATCATTTCTCGTCGATGACACCCAAAGGATCAATGATTATCATGTTTTACGATATATAAACTAGGTGCACTCAGCAGAGCGCAGATCTCCACCAGGATTGTCTGCAACCACCACTGCTGTATTGCGTGATTAAATGAGCATAACCCACAAAGGGTTAACCAACAATAAAACATGAAAACACACCTTATTAAAACTCAACCAGCAGCAACGTGTGCAAGCATTTGCCTCAAAGACATAGTATTATACACTACCTACAATCTTCCATAATACACGTAAGAAGTCAAATTAAACTCACAAAGCTATCTGCCATCTTAATAGCAACTCAGTGGCAGACAAACAGCAGTATTGATACGGGCCAGCAGACAGACGGTGGTAGTATAAACAGGCAATAAAGGTGTGTTGAGTCTCAAAATGTCCTTGAGCATGCAGCTATAACACTATCAGTTTGTTATAGCTAATTGTAAGAAGAGCAGTGGACAGACACAGAGGTGCACTTTCACTCACAAATGCACACATGCTCCTCCTGGCAGAAATAAAAGCAGTGTGCATTGATCCTACAGAGATGTGTAAAGCTCCATGTCAGAGCAGCACGTTGACACGAGACGACAGAGCAGAGGAGCTGAGCTCTGACAGGACACGGACAGATCTACCAGCTCAGGTAAAAGCGCGTTATAATCACCTCCAAGAGCCTTTTCAGGATGAAAATAGTACAGCATCCATGTTAAATGTGGTCTAAAACTATGTTCTCCAAAAATAAATCACACCTTTATGCATACTGAGCATAAAATTTACTTTTTCACACTTCATTCAGTTGCGGCCACAATAACTCAAGTACCATAAACAATAGTTAATCTCAAGGGTGAGATACCTGACATACCTGGAGGTTTGTGCATGTTAGTGTAGTGTGTGTAAAGTGGGTGTTTATTAATGCTCATCCTCCATGCACGGTTTAAGTAAGAGAGGCAAACATAGACTAGATTGTTACAGTAAAGTAACAGTGGGAGGCAAATCTAACCAATATTTAATAGTTAACTTGCTGAAAATGTTGGTGTGGAATGGACAGAAGCTATAGAGGGCGAAAAGTGACTCTATAATAGCGAGGTCAATTGTAAATCAGATCCCCGGATCACTTTGACTAATGCTCTTACGACTGCCATGTGTTCTTCTGGATTGTGTACTGTGCTTTTCATGCCAATGGCTGATAGTTGAAAGGGGGACAGGACAGCAATTTCTTCTACACAGCAGAGAACAAAATAATAGGGCGCTGCCAGTAAGACAAGGTGACCTTTCGCCTGAGAGCGTCCGCTGCGTGTTTTTTAAGTTTTTCATCAGCTTACTAGTTGCATGTCTTGACATATTTCTTAAGTCAATATAAAGTTTCAGTGGTTGAAATAAAAAGGATTAAAAGTACTGTACCCAAAATGTTACTACGGTAAAATAATAGGCGTAATAGGAAAATAGGTGTTCCCACATTGTAGAAATTGAGATTTCCATGTCTATTTTCATCATAAAGGCAGTCTGGGCACAATTTAGATTCCGCACTATTCAAAATGCTCAATCCACGGAGAAATACAGTCTGTAATTTAGAAACAGTGAGTTATGACTCCTGATTTATTTTGTGTCTATGTGTCTATTTGTGTCTGTTGTTATTGTTAACAACAAACAAAACAGACAAAAGCAGACAGGGTTTTTCTAGAAGAAATGTTTTATCAACATTAAGGCATGTACATGTGTAGATTCAAAAATGAACTTGTAATTGTGCACCATGTGTCCCCATGGATACTGATGCACCAATGTGTTAGCTGAGCAACATTTTACCATTGAGGTGGAGTTAGCTTTTCTAACACCATCACATGCAGCTTATGCTGAATGTGTGCTCTCTGTATTTCATGCTCATATCGTTGCTTCATTGCAGTGCGTTGAAACTGCAGCTGACACAGCAGAATCAATACAAACAACAGGAAGGCAAAATAAGTCACAGAACCTGGTGCAAACAAAGAAGGCACATCAGGGTGGAGCCGGTAGTTGGAAAAGGACCACGGGGAATAAGGGTAAGTCATCGTGGATGATATTCTTCAACCTGCGTGGAATCCATATCAGTAACTTCTGCTGATCTTCAGATGAAATGGCCGATGTGTTGAGTAACGGCAATCCGGTGCTGACCTGCATCGGCCTAGGGAGGAGAGCCGAGAACAAGCCCTCGATGAAGACTCCCTCACCACGGCGGCAACAACAGCTCACCAGAGATGTCCATGGCGATACAGAAGAGGAAGGACTTTCTTCATATCTAGGAAACGATCAGTGGAACCCCTTTGAGTGTCCACAGCCCTGGACTCCCCTCTACCACACATGTCGCCAACCTCGACACGAGACGCCGCTGGGTGGTGGGACCTTGTCGCTGCCCCGGACCCCAGAGTGGGATCGCTTTGAGAGTTTGATACAGGAACTGGACAGCAAACAGTCTGATCTGTCTCCCTCAGTAATGGTCAGATCCATCACAGATCTGCCGCTACCTCAGAACACAGTAAGATGTACCTCAGTGACATTACCACCAGAAAGTGAGACCAACGAAAGGAACCCGTAGTCCAGCTGATCTCAGACAGTGATTAGTGGAATAGCAGTTTAATAACGATCAATGTTGGAAAAGAGCCAAGAGTCAGTTTAACAGATCAGAAAGCTGACCGACGGCTCAACTGAAACTAATGGCAAATAATAAGGAATGATTGTTTCCATTCCATTCATGTAGGAAGATAGAAGATCTGCACACAGACATGCAGTTTATAGAAATGATGCCGGTTGGATTACTTTAAAATTGTACCTCTCCCCTAAAATGCTACTGAGATTATTTTTTAAACACTAAAAAGTACAAGATCAGCACGACAAGATCACTGAAATACAAGCTCCATCATTAATATATATGAAAAAGAACCACATGGCTGCCAGGGTTTAACCTAATTCCCCACACAGATCATAAACAGGGAATAAACACTGTCTTTTTGTCGAGTGGTCACACACAGGCGTATACTGTGCCCATCTGTCACCACTAAAACACACACGTTAATCTCTCTTTCCCGTAAACAGTTAACTAGATCGGGGAGATTTGAGGCGTCCGGCCTGCCCTCGCCTCAAATGAAACCATCAGATAACGGAAGCGCTCTGGTAAGAGACCCAACAACCTCCATCTGCCAGAGTGTCCATCGAGGAATTTGCACTTTGATGCCCGTCATCAACATAATTCACAACCAAATCCGAGAAACTCGTTTTACCGCGTGCTTTGTTTTCACAGCTCAAGCAGGATGAGAAAAGCAACCCAACCAAACCGCAGAGGAGGGACACGGGGACCTCACCACAAAGTGACGGGAAGCAGGTGGAAGCCTCACCTGAGAAGACGCTGACAGCCATCACTGTATGTCACGCACTCTGCACAGCTTTTACTAATGCACCAAGTTTTGGGTTGGTGGCACAGTGCGATCGCTCCTAATGAAACAACATCTGTTAGCAAGCAGGCCGCTGTCAGACACACACCTGCTCTGCCACCGTGCAAACTATCAATCAAACTACCAATATTTTACACCAGCAGTTAAGCAGAAAAGGGGCCGACGCATCCAACGCGCACATAAATGTTCAGTCAATCTAAATGAGGAAAAGACTACAACTTTGAATTTCATTAGTGGAACAAAAGCTACACAAGCTTATGGGGCAGCTTGTACAGGTCTCACGGAATTTATTATTTTATAAATAATTGATTTAAATAAACTATTTCACTGGCAAATCTATACATGCGTGACAAATACATCCTCAAAGTACATACCTCATCTGCCTTTGTCTAATAAATAAAAGAAGAAAAGAAAAGCTTAAGACGACATCATGTATTGTCTTTTTTTTAGATTCTTTGTTATTGTTATTGCCAACAATTCTTTGAAACTACTATGTCAGCGCATAACAGCGCCATAATTAAAGTAATTAAGTACACCTCTGTTTATCCTGCAATCACATGTCAACATGGCTGCTGCAGATGTCATAAAATCTGTTGGCATCTTTTGGCTCACTGGCAGTGACAGTTCGTACATGTTTAAGTTGTCCTCCTCTAGGTTGAGACTAATTTTAGAAAAATGCTGGTGATAGGTGTGTCGTTTAGTCACGCCAACTATTTCCACCCCCATTTCCCTTCTGAAGATTCTTGGACCCAATCAAATCAGGTCATATATTTCATAAACTTTGCAGTTTAAGTGCAGCTCATCCACATTCCCCCACTTCAGAAAGCACACATGATGCATGATGCCGATGCCAACATGGCCCGCTGCGGGGACGTCCCCATATAGGAAGAGGAGGTTAAAAACTGAGCGCAGGTAGCTAGGGATTATTCCCGCCACACACATCCTGTAGGTCTTAGCTATTAAAAGCCAGGCAACCATTGTAGGATTAAGTGTTTTGCCTGCAAGAAGAGCTGCATGTCCCAACATAAACCAGGGACATTAAGCCGCTCTGCTGCATGAGGAATCAAACGTGGCCTGACTCAGCTCTGTGGTTGGTTAGCTTTCTCTTTTGTTTCCCTGTAGTGGGAGATAACGGACGGCAGGGAACCCTAGCACAGGGCAGGATTAAAAATGTGACTTGTGGTGTTTTTTACCCTGCAGACACAGAAAGATGGAGCACAGAAGAGGGAAGCTTGTAGGCGACCATTTCTTAAGGGACACGGACGGTCCAGTAACTCCATGGAAAGCCTCTACAGCCTCAACAGTGGACAAAGCTCCTCAAGTAAGCACCTTCGTGCACAGATCCAAGTGTTCTCTTCCCACCAAGGCCCAACGAATTATGCAACCTTTGTTTCTTTACTCAGGTGTCCCATTACTCTCATTTCGAAGCACTAATTTGTAGAGTAGCACCACCCTCCGACAATTAAAAAAAATAAACGTGTGCATACGTGTAGCTTGGATAGTAGTTGGATATCTGGCTTGCTCTTTAATGTTTGTCTGCTGTTCCCAAAGGTGGAATCACCAGTGGGTCAGGATGCTCCAGTAACAGAGACAGTCTGAGGATGGAGGAGGATCTGTTGTACACAAGACCGCTCTGCGTCAGAGCAAAAGTCCACACAGACTTCATCCCAAGTCCATATGACACAGAGTCACTTAAACTCAAGGTAGGCAAGTCTGGAGCGTAAATGGAGATGAAATAAACCAACTGAAGAATTACATCACTGTTGTACTGGGGTTGAGCAGCCACAGCTTGTAGGATGACATATTTAGGTTTAGCCATGCAGTGTTGGACAGTCTGGTTGGTCCACCAACCGTAATCTTAAAGATCCAGTCAGCTGGAAAGGATTACTTGCTGCTCAACTGTTTAACTCTGGGACTGAAAATCCAACCAGCACTTCTCCTCCGGTCCACAGCTGACAGTCAGTCAGAGAACGTGTCCAATCAGGGGGCGGAGGCCTCCGTTGAAAACATGAAAGCGCATAGGAACAACTGCCCAAGAGACTCTGGCTGCCACATGCCATCTGACAGCCCCGACATCAGCACAGAGGACACAGACCTGCAATTTGTCTCCGAGTCCCCGCCGCCAGCTGAGACGGCAGCTTTATGAGAATAATCAGTCTTCGGTTTGTTCCTTGTGCTGGTTTTGAGATGACTTCAGAATAACAACCTGTTTTTGAATTTTTGTAATTTCTCATCATATACAATAATAATAAATAAAACATTACGATTGTTTACTGTCGTGGCTCCAAAATGGTGGAACGAGTTCTCTGATGCCACCAGGACCGCAGAGTCTTTACATCCTCTGCCGCGGACTACACCTTGACTAAAAACACTAACAACTTGTAGCACTTAAATTGTATTTGTAATGATTCTTATCTAAAGCAAGTTGTAAATCGGCATATTAGATGAAATTGCACTTTCTTGTTCTTTTGAGTTTGTATCGTAATGGTTGAAATGCACTTATTGTATGTCGCTTTGGATAAAAGCGTCAGCTAAATGACGTGTGATGTAAAACAGCCATGCTGAGCCTTTAACACTGCCAATCCTTAACTTAACGGCTCGCCGGTCTAGAAATGGAATTGTTTCGTAAAATAAAGCATGTTTATTAATCTATGTTCCATACAGTAATTGTATTTAGTCTATCAAGCTATTTTCACCATAAATTTATCCCCACATTTTTTTTTTCATTTCCTGATTAGTTGTTTTGATCTACAACATGTCAGAAAATAGTGTCAGTTACTTCAATTTGGACTTTTTGAAAAAGAGTTAATCAATTATCAAATCTGCAGCAGATACATTTTCGGTCCAGTAATTGATTCAGCGCTTCATCTTCATTTTGATACTACACAAAGTGATATCTCTTATAGATAATCCAAACTATTTTAACTACAGTATATTTTACATTTGTATGATTGGAAGCATTCCCAATGTTTTACTGTAATGATTGATAATATATGAGAATGTCACCAAATACAGGAAGTAATAAAATATGACAAAATTAAAACACAACTGAAGCAGTAAACCATTTGCAACACATGCTGCTTAAAACTGTCCCGAGAATGCCGTCTACAGCCAGCAGTGGAGCTTGAAGCTTCATGCTGGTGTCACCGTGCTAACATGCTCACAATGGCGCTTTTGATCATTGCAGCGTGTTAGCCCGCTAACAGTAGCCTACTGGGACTCCTCCTTATTTTTTCGAAAGATAAACTAGTCATTTTTTCAAAGAGAAAAAAATCCTTTTATTGAACAGCCGATGGGTCTTTGGCTGCAGTGTAGCTGTAACTAGAAATATGTACCCCTTTTTATTTAAATCTAAAAAATAATGCTTTGACACTATACTACCAATCCATCAATTCAACAAAAAGGCAGTCCCGTGAAAGATGTAATAGCTAATATGACTATACAGTAAATCAATCATGGCATGACAGAAAAAAAACATTTATCACAATGCTCTCAATACCTCCAACCCCCTCCCTTATCAGTCACAGTGGTAATAAATGAAAACAGAAAGTACACAATTGCTGTCCAAAGCATTGAAAAAGAGAATAAAAACAACTCATATTTACATCAGCTTATAATAAAGAACACTACAACTCTGTTATAAAACAGTGAAAAATGAAAAAAATTTAGAGCAACATTACAGCCAGTATTAGCTCAAAAGTCACTCACGCGAACGGATTCTCCTTTCTGTGATCTTCAAATGGATTTTGCCCCAACTCCCCACACATATGTATCCAGGAAACATTTTGACATCATCTTTTAAAATGAGTTATTCATGATTAATAATTGATTTGGACAACAATTTGAGAAACATGAATTCTGGTTTCACTTTGACAAAGGATCTATTGCAAATGGCATTTGACTCATTATGAAACACTTGGTCATCGGTCAGCTGACCCCCGAAGAGACAACGACATGGACAAATACCAGGCATGTTGTCCACACTGAAAACAAGAAAATGATTCTTTACAACAATGTTGAAGTGAGTATTTTCAAAAGGAAATTCTGGCAGTCTTGAGGGGAAAAAAAAGACATACAAAATGATATCACACATATATATGTATTACATGAAACTTGCAAATTAGAAAATGAATATTGTGTTTTTTTTTTTAAACGTATGTATCATAGGGCAAATACTTTAGATACAAATTGGTATCAACGCGGTCATAACTCCTGATCTAAGTTGACTAACAGATTGGTTCCACCATCTGTGATCCTTCTTCCTTCCAATGACAAAATATTATCCAGTCAGCAAAGCTCTGAGATCAGAGGTCCAGCTGTCGTGTGTTTGGTTCAGTGACTGAGCTCTCCATGAGAGTATGTGGCATAACCGTTCTCAGGGTACAGACACAGCTCCTCTGTACTGCTGAGCCCATTGTGGGGTTCTGAAAAAGATGACAGAGATGATTAATAAGCCCACTGACGGCTCTTTGATGGACTATATATTGTATGAAATCTCACTGTAGATAATTGCCTGTAAAAGTAGGTTTTAGTCAGTTACAACATGAGACATTTGTTTCTAGGAATGAATGTAGTGAAAGCTGCACCTGAGATTATGAGCTTTTCCTTCATGATGTTGACGTCTCGACTGGAACGACGCGTCACGGCGCTCAGCATGATCTGCTCTGGGTTATAGTTCTGCATTCCTCTCATCCTCCACCTGTTCCAGCACACACAGACATACACAGTCACAATATGTAGAGGCAACGTGTCCATTACATCAAATAAACCAATAGTTATGGGGCCCAGACTGGGTCTTTAAGATACAATTACATCTGAATGGGATGCATATTGATAAACAAGAGGAAGGAAATTGGCCCAGGGGCAACGGGCAGAAAATGCATAAGTAGGACAGACAAGGAAGCAGAAACAACGGCAGAGGAAGTTGCAGCAGTTACCTGATCATATGATAGCTGACAGATGCCAGGGGGTGCAGCGGAGGGGAGGTTGCATGCAGATCACAGGACAAAGTACAAATGTCAAAGGAGAAAGAGGACCGGGAGGACGAGTACAGGTCATAGGAAGGCAAAAGACAATAGGAAAGAAAAAGCTCAGATATATAAAAGGAACTTTAGAACAGTGAGTGTCAAAGAAGGTCCAATCCCACTCAGAGGCTGATGTTGTAGAAACCCTCTCAATAACAGGATACTTCGGAAGTGGTTTTGGGAGTTTCATCTCCACTGCATTACTACAGTTGGTGGACTTCGGAGAAACAGAAATGAGAACCAGCACCCGAGCCGACGTACTGCAATGGATGTATTTTAGACACCTAAAATAATCCATATCAGTTTAAGTGGGAACGGTTTAAAACATCCCTTTAATCAAACCATGTAAACAAAGGGGTCACACTGGCTATGGAGAAGAATCTTTTACAACCACACGTCTAAACATGTGAACTATCCCTTTACACTACACTAATTGTAATATATAAAGTGATGTGCTGCTCCTGTGAACATAAAAATATTTTTATTTAGTGAAATACTAATTAAAACAAAGGATAAGTTAAGATCTGTGTTTCATAAATCAAATTATACATTATACTAAAAACGATAGTCAAAGAAAAAAAATACTTCAGGGAGAAAAAAAACAAGACCTCTTGAATAACATTGGAAACATTATTTTTTCCGGTCATTTACGTATAGTAAAGCAAATAGATGTTTCATATTAGTGCTTTAGACTACATGCAGTGACCAGGAAACATTCTCAATGTCGGTTCGGTAGTTGTCGATGTACGTCTGCGACTCTCAACATAATCTCTGCACTTACTTTTGAAAACCAAAAATCCCGATGACTACGGCAATGGACACCAGATCTGAAGTGATCCAGATGAAGCGGTAAGCGTTCCGACTCTGCAAGAGACGGAAAAAGAAAAGAGCAGTTCCCAGTCAGTGCCACCGGAGGTCCCCATTAACATGTACGTCAGCTGAAGCTGCTAAGCCAGCAAGCCAGCAAGCCAGCTACTTTTTAGTTCAGTTCTCTGGCCTTCACGCAGACGCTTTTCCCAGGGTCCTGTTGTTCTCCGCCACGCTGAGCCCTCTCATACTTCTCTGCGTCCTTGCCCTCAAGTCTTGTTGAGCCCTAGTGAGTGTGTGTCCTCTCTGTGACCTTGTCTGTCAGAGTGTGTGTGTGTGTGTGTGTGTGTGTGGTTTGAGGAGACACAGGGATCAGGAGAGCTGTTTACCATGAGCCAGATGGGGTAAGGCACCTTTCGGAGGACTTGGGGGGCATCGGAGGACACAGAAGGCACCCCGCTACACCACAGGATGGAGTAGAGCCAAGGCTCATTCACTGGGTACACAGTCACACTGACATTATTGGCCAGATACTCCCTGGGGAAAGACAAAAACACAACTCAGCATTGAGTAGAAAAGGTCGTCTCCCTTTGGAATCCTTTGCTCCTTTCGCTGGGATTTGTGAATCAGAAACATTTGCACTGGGAAACCTACAGTACTCTAGTATAATACCAATGTCATTACTAAGTGTGTTCTTGCATTTTAACATATTGTAGTGCATTTACATATTTAGCAATAAAGACCAAAGACCCTGTCACACAGCCTGTTCAAGGTGGAACAGTTGTGCCGCATTGCCTTTAGAAGGTGCAAACACAGAATGTTCCACGTCATCCTCGGCCACTCAAATACACATCCTTAAACCTTAGGGTTGGGGTAAGGAGCCTACGATAGCATTTTACTGCAAAGCATGGCTTACATAGCCGTACACTAGCACCGTTGCTTCTGGAATGATGGCCACCGGGGCAGTTTAAAAAGAGCAGACCGGCGTAATGGAGGATCTACTATACGGCAATGTTGCCAAAATGAAAACAGTTAAGGCCTGTCACTGTATTTCAGGCACCATTTTATATTGGTGCAGAAATGCATTTATTTTTTGAGGAATTTTAGTTAGAAGGACAACAATATGGGCCTTTTTTTGTTTTTTCAGTTCGCTGGTCTCCATTATATATTTTTTCTGACCATTGCCACCTGCACCTACGCGCTCGCTCTTACTGTATGTCTTTGGTGCTGGCCTTGCTATAGTGGAGGGTCAGGCTCGTTAGTCCCCTCTGCCTCATCTCTTCCACGGACAGCTTCTCATTTGCGGTCTGCTGGAGACCTCGCACCCTCCCCCTGTCAGTGTCGGGGGTCCACGTCACCTGGCACAAACACAAGGGACATGGAGAGACCCTGGTTAGATAGACTGCAGCGTCAGAATAGGAGTTATAACCCATTCCTGTTTGGTGTTTTGGTTGAATAGAGGTTTCTTTTGTGCTTTCAATCCCTTGAAATTGTTTCAGCTGAAAGAACAGTACTCTGTTTTGTGTCAAAAACTAGTCCTGCAAATGTTGTAGTAGTAAAGAGTAAAAGATCTGTTCACCTGGGGGACAATACCAGATACCAATCTCAGTGGCAATCATAGGTGTTCTAAAGTACTTCAAGCAGTGTTTTTAAGCAATCAAAGGATGATTATGGAGTGACCTACAGTCCTCACCCTCTTCTGGGTGATCCCTGCTTTCTGCACTGCCCACAGTGCGTCCATGAACCAGGTCCGGTAGCGCGGGTGCTCTGGCGGAGGCCTGCGGACCTTGAGCAGTGCGGAGCTGTTGGCCTTGGCTGCCAGACGCAGCAATTCCACCAGACTGCAGACTGTCTGGTTACCCATTCTGCCGCGATCCCTCGCTGTGAGGGTTTCTACTGTCCAGTACGGGTCACTCTGGAAGCAAATGAGACACACTTCTGTATAGAATTAAGTTCTTCAGTATATCTTTTTATAAAGTAGATATGCAGCTTATTTGTTTGTCTTTATTTTTGAGATATTACGTTCCTTTTTTTGTATCACTTATTGGAACAATCATCTCCAGTACAAACAATTTTGTGTCTGCCTGTGTGGACATAATGTGCAATAATGTGCATGGAGATAATGTGTGTTGTTGTGTGTGTCAGTCACCTGGAGGACACATTCTTAGTGGTCTAAGGGTGCGCTCTCCGACATCTTCAGAACCAGCAGTGCTCCAACGCTATTTTATTCGCTAACCTTAAAAAGGTTTGCAAGGTTGACTATTGGAGAAGCTTATTAGATTCTATAGCACTTTTAACATGTTCCATCTATTCCTTGAATTGTAGGTTTAATCATATTGAAGGAATTTCACTGACTGCACAACTTCTTGCATCATATCCTAAATCCTGTCCTTGGGAAGACACTTAACTCCAACATGTCTCCCGTGGCTGTGACTACGTTGTGTGACTGGTGTGAATGTTAATTACTGACGGGCAGGTGGCATATGGCAGCTCCTGTCATCACTGTATGAACAAGTGTGAATGATGACATGTACTGTATAAGTGGTCGGAAGAATAGAAATGTGAACTGTACAATTATTATTTACCATTTAACATTGCAATAATTCCTCCAGGACTGCTAAATTGTATTTTTTGTGTAAACACAATATGGTGAAATTGCTCTTCATGTGTGTGCGGAAGTTGATTTCAGTACCTCCAAAAACCACTGGCCTGCGTTTAGAGAGCGAATCTCAGTCCAGTTGAAGAAAGAGGCATCATCATACTGTCTGGCTGGAAAGACCTTACTGACGTCTGTTGTTCGCTTCAATGTGCGGTCTCGCATAAGAAAGGGAACACCGTCCACACTGGAAGAGATTATTTTCAGAAAATATTGTACTATAAAACTATTATTATTTACAATATACTTTGATAAAAAGAAGTATAATAACCAAACATCCAAACAGCAGCTCAATAAAAAAAACATCCAAAAACAGGAGCAATGTGCTGAGAGCCACATCACATGGAAATATGTATGTGCAGCATACATATTTGTCAATATGTCAAAAGCAGGGGGATCTATAAATGGAACCTCAGTCCATTAAAGCTAAATAAGATGGAATTAAAAAGGCAATGTGTGCTGGATAACCTGATTGTGACGTCTGCCTCCAAGGAGCTGGCTCCATACTGCAGGGCTCTGTTAAAGGACACCATGGTGTTTTCTGGGGCCACCTGGATCAGGAAGGGGATGTAATAAGTACAAAACAACATTTTAAAAAGGAGCTGTGTGTTGGATTTAGTAGCATCTAGCAATGAGGGAACCGATTGCAAACAATATGGGCCTCCACTTCATTCTCTGCAGTGAGTACGGTCTCACAACAACAGCATTGAACAGAGTCAGACCCTCAGAGCACAGACTCACCATCGGAGCTCCTCGCCGACCGATGACGTCTGGTCGCAGTCGGAGGCTGTGGCGGTCCATGATGCAGGGGCAGGTGAATGTGAGCGGTGCCAAATACACAGTCAGGAGGACGACCATGTAGATCAGTAACATCATCACCTGAAAATCTAGAAGGAGAGAGTAAGGGGGATTTAAACAGCAGTTACTGGAAATGGTAAAGAGCTTTCCTTCAAAATATCAACCCATTTAATAAAACGATCTTGCCCAGTCCTAGGAACTCAGTATCAGTGTTGAAGTAAAGACCATCCAAACAGAGACCAATTCATGACCAAGACCAGAAAATGAAAACATACAAAACCCTATTTATCTGACATTGAGAGAAGACCGAGTACAAATACAGACCAATCCAAGAAAAGATCTTCAAAGACCAGTCTTGAATACTTCAACACTTTACGTTTCTATAAGGCAAAGAAATCTGAAGCTAGAGTTGGCCTGGCTGTTGAAGGGATCCACTCTTGAAATACAAGTCCACACTTACTGGATCTCTCTCTGCGGACCACATATCCAGCTACCAACCAGCTGATGGCTGTGACTGTCACCAGGGCTCCAATGTGCAGGAAGGGTGCGGTGGACTGGTAACAAAACACAAATGGAGAACATTGCTGTAAATTGTAGGTTACAAGGTTAGAGAGATTACAACAGAGTACAACTTTCAGACATGTAGATTACAAACACATGTAAGAAATAGCTTGTAGAGGTATGATAAGGAGCCGTCTTTGTGTCACAGCAGGGAGAGAGTGAAGGTAGTCAGAGCTTTTCCTTGGAAAACAAACCATGTGTGCTGTAGCTTTTCAATCATGTATGTTGTTGGTACGGTTAATTCACTTTCGGCGATTAAATAGCAGTTTTGGAGAGAGGGATTTAGATCTGTCTGTTAAATAAGCTACATCCAGCAGCTGGTTATCTTCGCTTGGTTAATAAGCAAAGCAGAGTGTAAACAGCTGGGCTGGTTCTGAAAGAAGAATAGAAGGAAATTTGCCTACGTTGTGGTTTTGCAAGGTGTGCAACGACTCCTTCTTGGCTGAGAGCAGTGACTTTAATTCCTTATGCTAAGCTAACCGACTGCCAATCCACAGACATGAGAGCGGTATCACTTATCTTCTAGAAACAGCACAAAAAAGTGTGTTCTAACAACTGGGAAGAAAAACCATACACAAGTTGGAATAGTAAGTTAAAGAGTAACAAACGAAAACAAAATCCAATGTTAATTACGAAGGAATATTTTTTTTTTGGTACCATTTTACAGACTGAAAAAGTGGAGAAGCTAAATGATAAAAGACAACTGCAAAAGAAAGACATTCCTCTTGTATACGGTCACGTCCTTCTGATTGTGAACCAACCTGTAGTGAAACCAGAATGATCTCCCACTCATCTCCCCATATGTCATCGACGGATATGACGCCGGAGATGGTGGTGAGCAGCATAGCCAACACTCCAATCTGTGGAGACAATCATGAGGTCCGATTTATTTCTTTATTTTAGAGGTAGGTGTGAAGAAAATCCATGGCAGAAATGTGCGATGTGAATCACAGCACCTTGTGAACCCAGTAAAGGTTCAGCTGCTGGCCCAAGGATATATGGAAAAGTGCTAAAATCTGAAAGAAAAGCCGCATTCAATTCAATTCAATTCAATGATAACTGAGCAAGTTGGCTAACATCTAGGGGCGTAACCGCTACCAGTAAGAATGTGATGTAGCTGAATCCCACGGTGGTGGATGCGAGGATGGGGATTGTCTCGTCCTTCCATTCTCCGGAGCGGTTGTATACAGACCTGGGAACAGGTGAGGTTTGACTGATCAATGTGGACTGTAAAAGCCTGGACCCCGCTAACAGGATTAGTTTTTCCTTGCAGTTCTGCATATTGTCTGGTTGCCGCCAAAAGGTCGGACACTCTACTTTTCATAGTCTCACCCTTATCAAATACGCTGAGCACAAACAACAATAGTGGGATAATTTACTCACCAGTTGAACTCATTGAAATCATTTTGAGCCACCAACCAGAAGTAGGCCCAAAAGAGGAGAAGGAGGAAGGAACTGCACAAGATGACAAACCATGTACACTCCCACTGTGAAAGAAAGCACAAGCAACAGTTAACTCAGACATACACAGCCGGTTTTGTTCGGAGTTTGCACTAACTGCTCGACAACTAAACAGCCGGCTGACTAACAATAGGTAACATTCAGCAACCCCATGGTAGCAACCTACCCCACCCTAAAGCCCACTGACTCAAAATGGACCATAATTTCATGCTTGAAACTAGAGATTGATACCATGAACTGGTACGTGGGGCATTTGGCACCGTGCCACAGCTCGATTCTGATGCATTAAAATAACAAATACAAAGTCAATAGTCCATTTTTTGGGAAGGGTGCAGAAAAACTTGTTTTCCGAAGAATCCTCTTAAATGTGATGAGTAAATTACATTCAAAAAGCTTTAGAGTCTGACCCTCACAGGGTCGACAGCAGTCTGTTCCGACCGCAGCTTCATTTGTGTATGCTAGGACATGTGACCATTAACACACAGTCTCTTTGCACTGCACTTCCCAAAGATCAATTTAAAATCACATGTAGTGTTTCGTCATGTTTGTGGAACTCTTTCCTGTGCCTCTTCAGTCATGTTGACTATCTCCAGGCACCAGCTAGGTGGTATCCTCATTTCGTCAACTTTCAAAATGTGTCCAATAATGACCGTAACTGCATGCCATCACAAAGAGAAAGATAAGACCACAGCCAGGTGTAAACAATAGCATATGAAAAGTGTGGATTACCTCAGCAAAGGAGGTTGTTTTATATCTTTAAAAAACTACTGGCTTGGTGTAGCATGCGCTGTGAAAAAATCCATCGCATTTTGCAGCAGATCTAAATTCCTGTGAGGCCTCAGGCATTTTCTTTTACTTATGCAAACAGCCTCGGTGGAGGTCTGCGGTCTCAGAGGGCCCTTCCAGCCATTTGGACATGCGTTCCGTTACCAGGTCTTTTACCTCCTGTACAGTCCACTATGGTATGACATGTGGTACAAAAGGTACAGTGGAGAGATTACATAGCACTCAAGGACTCGTCCCTTCAGCAGTTAACAGGATTAGGAGCTAGTGTCATGAAAGGGGAGGTGTACACTATGATAGACAAATCTTGTAGAGCATTGATCAGCTTTGTGCCACACCGTGCACACCACTCCCTTTTTCAGGGGCTTATGGGTTTGGGAGCTCATTAGATGTGTGAGCAGGTAAAGAGCATATGGCTGCATTGACGAAGCAGTCGAGTCTACGAGGTCAGGTGACTGTTCTCGGCTCTGAGCCACAGTTGTGTTGTAAATGTACCTTGTGCGCCAATATAAGCCACTTGTACATGCCCTGGTTGTAAAGTTCATTAAGGTGGCCTTGCAGTAGAAGTAAACATGAATACTAATTTTTTGTTGTACCCCCATTTTCCCAGAGAAATAAATTCCACAAATAATTTTAATTTAAAATATGGAATTTTCCTGTAGCTATGATTAGACATACCCTAATAATGATGTACATGACTGTATTGATTAATTGTCTTAATGCATATCAAAACTCAGGATGCCTTTGACACAGATTCCAGGTCCGTTGCTTCATTGTAACTGTTGCATTCGGTCCTAAATATACAAAGGCAAATATTTCTCCCTTTATTCAGTCAAACCTCCACCACAGTAATCCCTCTCCATTTCACATTTTCAGACCGTTAGCAGGCTCTCGCTGTGCAGTACAAGCCCACCCGTTATAAGAGGTGCTGCTTGATACCTGACAGTTTCTCCTGAGTGCTACATGGCCTTCAAAGTTCTCGCCACCGCTCTTATTAAAACTGCTGGTGCACAACCTCAGACAGCGCTCATAAAGCCTGATCACGTGCGGACTAACACCTCCCCATCAGCCTTTCGTCTGCTGATTAATACTGTACAGACGAGGTCACTGTCCGTGGGATATGGACCCCGATGAAACAAACACACCTGGGCGCATGAAAGTCAAAAATATGTAAGGCCGAACAGTAACAAAGGGAAACAGTAGGGCGATGAAAGATGAAAATAGACAATAAATAAATCATTGTACGGTAATTTGTGGTAGAAAAATACTTTCTTAAAAACCATATTCATGTATTCTTTGACCAACTGGGGGAAGCAAGACAAACTGACTACAAAACATTGACAGTGTATACCTCAACACTCGTTTCACAATTATTGTGAAAGTGACAATATTCCCAATTACTCAGCGAAACATCACACTGCTTGGATATTGTAAATGGACCACTGTGGCAATGTATGGGCCCCTGTGTTAGCAGTGCAAGTCAACAGCCACAAATAGCCACTGGTTTTGCCTGTGTTTAATAGTGTAGCATTGACTTTGCATGGAATCTACTCGTGGGAATAATTTGCTTGGCTTTTGGTGTGCACGCACCGTGAGATAATATTAACTTGTTCTCATGACTCCAAATAACAAAATACGGGGGACTTGGCATGAAAGAGGAATCTAGCACTTGGAAGATTGCTTTGAGAAATTACTATTTGTGTCTTTTGAACAACTGAAAAGTAAGTTTGAAGTAAAACTTTCTTCTTTCATCCTTTTTGAGAACAAACTTGGGCCCTGGAATGGCTCTACCTGTCTTATGTAATGTGGAAAAATGGCTACATGAGCTAAATGTAAAATTTTTCTAAAATGTACTACATGATGCTGAATGAAGGCCCAAAGTCCCTTTAGCATTGCGACGGACAAAGGCTAGCGGTGAGGAAACACAACAAACATACGCGCGCACACACACGTATTCATTTGAATATTAAATATTTAACTGCAAAGTGATAATGCGTAATTAAATCCTTCTTTTTGTTGCATTGAATCATACTGGGATGTATGCGGAAACTGATTGGATGGCCCTATAAAAAAAATAAAATAAAAAAAATCTACCAGCCACCACTGGACTTGAATGTAACAATTGATTAACAACGCTGGTCAAAGCAGCTCGTCAGCAACAGTAATTACAGTACAGAGTTGTTCACTATAATTTTCTTCATCAACTGTACCTCACCCCAAAGAAGCCGTATAAATTTAAAGCTGAATTGTCAGAAATGTGTTTCAGATGTGGTAGGTTGGCTCCTTCCTACGTTGTACCTAGCTTTGCACAAAGGTGAGACCCTTTGACATGCTTTTTGTCCTACCTTGACTGAGATCACCAGGGTTACCTTTGTTAGGCCCTGAGCTGTGCTTACTCTTACACTTTCAACTTTGAACACATCTTTAACAAAGTCCCACATTAAATGAGCAGAAATTGCTTTGTGTGTGCCAGGAAATTTACATAAATGACATGAAAGTCTAACTCCTCTACTATCTTCAAGTGGTATGTGGAAATGAACGGTTGAATCCCTCTTGAAAAGATTACAAAGCCAGAAAGAAAAGACATCATTCATTTTTGAAAACCTGGCAGACTTACTTGGATTACATGGGTACATTCTTAACAGTGCCATAGGGTTGTAATTATTTGGAGTTTGGAGCCATAATGTACAATGTAGTATCTCTTAGTGTTGTCTACTCTATGCACAACCTATTTTTATAAATTGTTGCTTTGTTGTTTACTTAATTCTTACATGTGAATTTTTCCTGCGATTTCATTCTTTTGTAACATTTACTTCACTCAATACGCCCTGAAAGTTACCTTGCAAGGTTAAAACATTTGGGAAAAATGGATGAAATAAAAATAAGAAACTGTTTCAGATCATGGTGCCTCACTGAAAAAAATAGGTTTAAAAGCTTCCTTTGATTTTCCATTTTTGCAACCAAATCGATTTCCTTTTTTTCTATAATGACTTTAGTCGTTTTCGGGCCTTGTACAAAGGCAATAACGTAGTCCATGAATATGATACATGAGTTTATCTGTGATTACAGAGGTGGGTTTACTGACTGTCTAAGAGGACATTAGGTCTGAAACCTAAAGCCCTGAGGATATAATGTCTCCTTAATAATAAAAAAACAAAACCAGCCACACATCTCTGTGTTGCTGTGTAAACAGACTGCATTGTAGTTTGTGAAGGCTAACCTCTGTGTTTCAGTGTAACCACTGTTTGTGTGTGTATGCATGTGTGACTACATGAATCTTAAATTGTAATCTGTAAATTGAGGCAGAGAGGGGAAAGGAGCAGCTGTGCGCTTGTATTTTTTCTTTTGGTCAGCACATCAGTGTCCGCCTCACACATTCAGTAAATGGACTAATTTACGGCAGAGACGCTGGCTCTCTGTGATAAAGACGACGTCCAGCAGCAGTTGCTCTGGCTGCCCAGCGGGTATCCAACACAGCTGGGTGTCTGCCTCTACTTTACACATCCAAACACTGCTTCTGCTACGTGCTTCATTGTGAGGTTGTTTTGCCATGTTACTATGGCCCGGTTAGAACTCCCTTAGGAATTCAGTAACAAAACAAATATTCTAACAGATACGTACTGCTTTTGAAAAGTGTAATGACTATTTAACCCTGCAATACATCTTTTATGATCAAAAACATTTCAAACTTTTATTTTTAGGAGTATAAAAGGGCCGTCATGCAATGATCAAAATGACTAAATGCACCGTTTCTCCTTCAAAAGGTCTGACCTATTTTCTGGCCATCAGAAACACAAAATGAAAAATGTAATTTTTTGCTGGGGTGCAGTTTCAGCACAGTACATTAGGTACAGTAAGACAATAGCTATACTCCATCTACTCTGCTCACGTAAATCTACAACATCGCTGATATATGTAGCATACGTGGAAATACAGATAAGGATATCTGGTGTAACGTATATGTATCATATATGTAAATAAAATATTTTACCTTATGTCGTCTCCTTCAAAAAGCAATACTCCTTTCTGTTTGAACCTTCCAGCATTTAAACTTTTCCAGGTTACAACTAAACAGCACAAGCATTCACATAGACAGTAAATATTGTGGCTTAAGCACCTGTAAATAACAAAACACTTCATGCCTACAAGTAGTTGAATAATGACACTATTTATTCGTCTAATTTCTTTGTAAAGACAGAATTACTTTAGGATGTGTCTCAACATATGTCACAGTGTTTGGTTTGTTCCTGTTTTATGTGGTATTTTCCCGTTTCTCCTGTCCCTGGGTTAGCTTGACTGCCTCTCCTGGTGCGTTTTTCCCCTCCTTGTGATTTGCTGGATTCAAATTCGCTTAGGAAGTTTCCTACCTGAATGAAATGATCCGAAAGTGATACTACCTCCCTACTTAGCTCCTATAGCATAGAAACCTTGGACCAGGGGTGCCCAATAGGTCAATCGGCAAGGCAGTGCCGGTAGATCGCCTGCCATTTAAAAAAAAAAAAAAAAAAAAACATCACCTCACACATGACCATAACCTGGTCGGTCGGAAAGTAGCTTGCAGGCCGAAAAAGGACGATCCTTTACCAAAGAAAAGGAGATAATTGCATCCCACAATTCCTTGTAACAGAAATATTCAATGATGTGAATTACTTCACATTTTTGGCTTCTTTTGTTCAACGTAATGGATTTAGAGGAAAACACGTTGACTGTTTCTCAAAGTATCAAAAGAAGTACTGAATTGCTACTAAAATAGTCTACCCTGATAGAAACCGACTTGATGCTTCCTTGATGATTTGATAACCCATCAGCAATACAACATCTACAGTGATACAAAAAGGTTGGGACAGTGTTTAAGAAAGTAGTTCATTACTGCACGAAGCAAATCATATTTAAGCATTTATATATTATCATGTAATCCATATTCAATGATTGGTCTTACCCTGGAGCTGTCGTCTTGGGAACGCTGGTAGCGTTTCCAGCGGCAACCATAGATCCCAGTGACAAAGGACACAAAGACCTGTTTCTCATAGACCTGCAAGGGTTGGTGTTTCACCATGCTCCTTCAGCATCAACGCGCCTCCAGTCCGTTAACATCCCACACAGGACTGGGAACCTTGGAGAAGATCAAAGGGTTACTAAACAGAACTAGCTTTTCAGTCGTGAGCTCAGCCTCTGTGCATACATTTACATCTCGCATCAATACCCTGTCATGGCATGTTGCGAAGGTATATTTTCACAAAACACTGAACTTGTTGATGGTCCTGGTCCCTGGTGGGAGTAACGACACTTACTGGAGGAAGTCAACACCCTTTTAAATAGTGAGTCATGTCTAGGACTGAGATAATAGTAAGGTAAATGGTTTACAGTCACCGAGTGGACCTTTAACATCTTGAGTTTTATGAGGAAAATAGGCATAGCTTGGTATCCATCTATGGGTATGACTTGATCCTTTCACAAGAGGAGCATAAGTAAAAAGGTAAAGAGTAACATGAAGTCAATTGTGTTTACTCAGATAAAAGCCTGGAGAAAAGTGTGTTGCCTTTGTGGGTTAACATATCTTGGCACAGAAGTTGTTTTTTTCATGGCTTTCTGGAGGACACGTTGCTGTGCCATATCTTCTTTTTCATGGACTCCATTAGTCTTTTTTCAAGATCATTCAGAATAGTATGGCATTGCACAATTGTAGATCAAGTAGCCCACAGTATGAGCTATTTGTATCAAGTAATAATACAGTTGAACACTGGGAGCAAGCTCCTATTCAGAGCAAGCATGTGTTTATGAAACCCAGGTGCGCTGGTTGAGTGACCGTTCCACAGACAATGTTAGGACTTTTTTTTTTTTCCTTTCTAAAATCGTGACATGGATCACGTCACGCCACTGCAATGACGTGATCCACCTTACTCTGACAGGCTTATCCTGATCCTTACCCTAAACTTGACGTATCTCCTGCCTCATGTCTAAATCTAACCAAACAAACAAATGAAGGCAACAAGTAAGAACATGCAAGTTGTTAGAGTAGTAGGAGAAAAAACACAATGGGCCAAGGATGTCATTCTACATGATTATTAGCTATGCACCGGTGTTTGTTGTTGGAAAGGGATCATTTTGAACACATTAATTCATTGACTAAAAGGACCGCCGGCTAACCAAACAAGTTATAACCATGACTCAATCTCAACACACGTAAGACAAGTAGCTCCGACCACTGTGCGCTCTGCGATGACGTGTAAAAACAAATTCCCACCTGCAGAAGAGCAACATCAGTTGTTAACACCGGTACGAACAGTACATGAGAAATTGTGTGTACCGTTCTAACCGGTATACCGCCCAGCCCTAGAATGGCTCTCTAACCCTCTATTTTCCATGTCACTGTCCAATTTGGGAGACAAACCTGATTCATAAGTCGATTTATCAGGAAAAAAAACTTGTTAGTAAATTTGAAGAAGTGCAGTAATTATCAGATTAGAAATTATTAGAATATCTTTTTTTAATCTTTTTTTTTTTTTTACTTCATATAGCGCAGTGGTCCCCAACCACCGGGCGGCATTTGACTTTTTCTGAAAAATCTATTGTTTTGAAAAGTGACGGGATTCACTCCCAATTGCATGCGCTTGTCCCTGTTGACAATTCTTTTTTGCGGCACGCGACAACTACTACGACAATATTGTCCAACATGAAACTGTTCAATGAGGCAAAAAAGTTTGGGGACCGCTGATACAGCATATTCTATTGACAAATTCTTATAATATTTAGTAGCATTATTGGGTTGCTATGTAATATTATGACATCAAGCGTTATTCCTCCCTCCAGTTGGTGGGTGCTGGAACATTGGCAGTAAAGCTCGGGGGCTGGATATTGGACATTTAGCAAATCTTCAAGAGAAACATGCAATCGTCCTCAGAGAAAACACAAGGACTTTACAGAATGATGCATTTGTACTAGTCTCTAAACTGCCTTTTTTACTGTGGGACAGAAACTGCTAAACTACAAATGCTGCTTTAAAACATTTCAAAGAATATCTGTTCCATGGCTCCTCTCTGGCTCAATGTCTATGTAGTCCACTAAAAATGCAATTGGGTATTTTGTGTCTGATGCTGTATAGTACTTGAGCTGTGCTTCTTTTGCAGTGGTTCTCAGGGTATAAGTGTGATCTTTCATCTAGGTTTCAGTATTAACATTCATCTAAACAAAAGGAGGAACCTGTTCCGCATCCACCTTGCAGATCTGCATCCTTTCACTGGTGACTGGTTATTATATGTGAACTGTCGGGCCTGAGGGAGCTTTCTACCAGATTCACAAGAGTTGGCAGATTCACAGCATTCACATCCTGACCCCATCCTCAAAACAAGGGCCAACTGGAGCTGAAATCCCCAGGGCCGTATTCCAGCCGGGTCAGCCTATTGTGTTATTGCGGCTTTTGTAACATTACAAAAACAACATGCAGTAATCACGAGGTAAAGTTGGGGTTGAGGGGCTTCAGTCTATTGCTAGATGATTTAAAGCTTCTGTAGTAAGACCACTGAGAATATAATCATGAAGTTTGTCTTCCCATTTCCACCGATCTTTCCGAGTGGACGTAAACTGGGAATAAAGCAGACATGGTCCCTAATGTTGATTACAAGACGTACAGCTTTCTGTGTGATATCAGGGCACATTATCAGTAGCACAGGTTCAACATTTGTCGGTGTTTGGTCGGTAAGGAAGTGTACTGTTGGTTGGACTCTTGGTGTAAAAGGCCATCTTTCTTCTGCTCTGTGTAAGGCGGACCACTGGCGCGCGTCTCATTCAGCTGGCTTCAGAACAGTTGCCTCTCATGCCTTTTACTGGAGGGGACTTTACTCCTCACCTGCCTGCCAAGTACCTGGTCACTGTCAGTGCGCCCCAAGGCCCTCGCTGCATCAGAGTTGTCGGTGAAAGTTAGATTAATTTGCTCCTTGAATGATAATGCAATATAATCCGCTAAGGCTCAGTCGACCGATCGCCACAGAGCCTCTGCCATACGTGTCTATTATTAGCCTTTCTATCTCTGTCGCTTCATTACGGGCTTCCATCGTTCACATAATTCATGAATTATTAGTATCATTAATCTTTCAGTGGATTTTGCCAGAAATACAGTTTCTATTAGCGCCATCATGCATTCATTACCTGGGGGAGGGGAGAGCTTCTCTTTGACTTCATATCTGTAAATGCCAGAGCTCTCCAGAACAACGTGTGAACCCGCATCCATGCAGTCATCCTACGAGATCGAGGTCAGCTTGTTTAAATTGAAAAATGTAATTGAACACCCGCCGGTTCAGAAGCAACTGGATTTATTGACGAGCAGGAATATCGGAAGTCAGTTAAGTCTTTTCCTAATCAGATTCAGGGAGGACGGAGAGGACTGACCAACGTGATTAAAGCTTGATTGCTTTGCAAAAGATGGTAAGAGCCCACTTGGTTCTTAGCAACTTAAAGAAACCCGGGACAGGTTGATAACGTCACGTAAAAACACTCAGGCGACTCTGTATACGGTCACAATGGATTCATCTCAGGAAATTCCCTCCATCTACCTGGTTGGATCAGTGTTAACCATGCCAGAAAAACTCTCATCATCCAACGGTTGTATAGAAATAATGATGGAAATTGGATCGGGTCCAAAAAATCCAGTTCATTATGTTTTCATGTAACCATTTCTCCTTAGCAGTCAAAAATGCTTTTCTTCTTTCTGAAGACACAGAGAAGTGGGCCAGCTGTTGATACGTCTTGCACCTGATAGCTGAGTAAGCTGCAGTCATGAACCTGAACTGAAGGCTTCTGGCTGTAATAGAGTCAGATGTGCAGCAGGTGTCACTGAAGCTGCTCAGCAAACAGGAGCACGTTCCACAACTGTCAGGCAACCATAGACACCTGTAAAGCAACTTACCTTCCATCTTTCATATCGCACAGAAACCCTCGTGAAGACCGCATATTAAACATCATGACACCGTTACTCAGTTATACGAGAAGCACCTTAACAAAAACAATTTAACACATGTATTAATTTGAAAACATTCCCACCCAGTGAGGACAGAACACTCCACTGATGACTAAACACACTGTGGAGTGTCAGATAATCCGACAAAGTGCGCACAAACAGCGGCCTCACCTCCACGGCGGCCCTTCTCCTCGCGGACAGCGTCGGACACGTGACCGGCTCTCGGTTAATCACTTATCTCCGCGGATGTTGACATAATGTCCTCTCTTCACGGTATACCAATTCATAGAAGTCGGTGAAGTGACGCATTGGCCTCCGGTCCGGTCCAGTCCAGCCGAGCAGAGAACTTAACTATGTCATGTTTCACAGGCAGGATAGCTTCTCCTCGAGGACACACGTACCTTCAGTGGGCACAGAAGAGTTCAAAAAGCTGTAATCCGTCACACACGGTGTGGGTGGAGCCCCGGAGCACACTGCAAGAAGTGCTGCACCCAGGCGCGCTGTGCGAGCATACACAGCGGGCCGGCCCGTGTCCCGAAGCGGACCTTTTACAGTGTGCACGACGTCTCAGCCCCAGGTGAGGGGATCAGAGCGGGTAATACATATTGTGTATATAGTATACACATATATGTATACATAGATCTATATACTCAGACCGTGATTGTTATAAATAATAACTATTGCACAGGTTGTACGTGTTTTTTTAATTAAATTATTCTGACGCTAAATACCACACTTAATTATCTGTCACTGCCAGAATGCACCTTTGTAAACACCTGGGACCAGAGAAATCCAATCGTGAACTCTAGTTTGTAAATAGCAATATATCTTTCTACTACTTTTTCACTGTCCTTGGCAAGATCATCGTCAATATTACTTTACTTTTATAATTTCCATTAATTTCCATTAAGTGTTACTTTACATTACATTACAGGTCATTTAGCAGACGCTTTTATCCAAAGCGACTTACATTACACTTTAAACCCATGGCTTTTCACATTTTTGCCTGGGGAGCAATTAGGGGTTAGGTGTCTTGCTCAGGGACATTTCGACATGGAATATGGGGCAGCCTGGAATCGAACCACCAACCTTGTGGTTCCCAGCACCACGACGACCCCTACTTCTATTACTTATACCACTGTATTTATTGTATTTATTTATTTTCTATCTTAGTTGAATTTGTAGCTCTTTCTATTCATGCCTGATAAATTGCATTATGCAATGATGTCAGTATTATTTATTTTATTAATATTCTATATATATACAATTTGAGAACAATACAGTGCGTTTTTGATTAAAACTGTTTATTTGCTGGTTATGTGTCAAATTAAATTAAATTAGTAAATTATTACTAGTGGAAGTTGATATAGTTTTGAATGAGGTGTTTCATGACATTTTGTGTTCATTATATCTTACCTTCATATAACTTTAAAGTTGCTAAAAACGCAAGAAAGAACAAGAAGGAACCAATCGGCCAACCCAACGAGGGTTCTTAATCAATTACTTACAGTATTCATAAAACATTGGCTGATTATTTATTGATAATTGAAATATTAAGTTCCAATGCATACATCCATTGTAGAGTACAAAATATATTTGCCTAATGTCTTTTTGCTGCTCAATATTAATTGGATTAAATTGAAAAGTTGCATTTATCCTTTAGCGTTTGCATTTGCTTCAGGAACTCTATGGAAAGGGGAAAGATGAGATGATGTCAAGATGATTGCAACAACAAGGTGATTGCTGATATCAAACAGCATGGACATGTGAAGCTTTTTAATCCCCAAAACCTTTATTAGTTTCATGTATCTGGATGCCTCCGGATAAAATGCACTGTTAATGTTTGAAGTCTGAGGAATCCTCGTAGCAAACAGGGACGTCAGTTTATTTCCTTCCTGCAGACGCCATGTCTCGTGTGCTGGAGGTGAGGGCTTTTTTGAGGTTTGAATCAAGTGTGTTTCCATTTTGAAGCGTGGAGATGTCCAGAGGGAGAATTCAATGACGGGTAAGAGAGAAATAATTTAATTAAACTTCACCGCGGGGTGCTGAAGACTCCATGTAGCGTTGGCATTGTCCCTTCTATAGGAAATGTTAGTGTTTCCTGGAATGTACCAGGCAGAGGTATGAGGCCAGAGGTTTGGATGGGTTTTACTGCGATGAAGTGTTTCCATGGAGGCTGACATGAGGTTAGAAATGTTCTCATAAATTCTATCCAAACCACACTCACACCAGAGTTCTATTAAAACCTCACGGTGCTTCAGCATGAAAATGCTGTACTCCTCTCCTGAGTTTAGTGCCACTAGAACATTGATCTAAGCGGTTGTACCTGATTGTACACAAGCCAGCAAAGAGGTAGAGTAGCGTCCTGTAGCATCCGAGATCTATTCCAGGCCCAGCAGTCAGGGATTAACCCTTGACCCTGGGATAATTACGTCAGATCCCTTTAATCCCAAACTATTAAGCGGTGGCAGTTCCGCGAAGTTCTCTTGCAGAAAAGATGCATGTTGGTCCTGTGATGCCGTCATAGTGGTAAAGGCACACATCAGGAAAGGCATATGGACCTGATGTGTACTTTTTATTCAACTCATCACACTGACATTACTATAATGTTATTAGTGTAAACCAAAGATGTTAATCAGCCTATTCCAGTTTCCATTCAATCGTTTATTTAGCCAGGAAGGTCCCATTTAGATACAGGACCACTTCTTCCAGAGAAGCCTGATAAAGACTCTGCCGCTCAAGCTGTTACATTTCTTAAATGAAATGTGACATGCTAAAAGACATAGAGTACTTGAAGGCAACACAAGGGAACAAATTAAGAGAGGCACCACAGGCTCACTAATATCCATGGCACTTTCTAAGCTCTTTAATGGTAGGGAAAGAATGTACTGAGGTATTGATATTTTGCTGCTCATTCCAAGCTCCCATCTCACCTTTGGCACCTTTAAAATAATTAATTTTGAGATCTGGTCCAGTGTATGAAAGGAAAGAACAATGTAGATAAAAGTTCATAGTTAACATTGTCTTTGCAATAAATAGCAATGTGGCACAGAGAGGACCGCCCAAAGCGGTCTGCATTTGTTAAAAACAATATAAATTAAGGATTCTTAAAACTGGATTATACATATATCAAATCAGATTGAAACATCTCTATTGACAATAAAGGGGGTGCTGGTGGTGATAGTGACAGTAACCTAAAAGGAGCTCCAGTTCCTCCAGTACAACGCGAAGCCTGTTTAGCGTTGTGTATTCATTGTTGGTTATTTGTTGACCTCTAGTGGCCGTGCAAAGTTCCTTTAGTCTTCAGCTGATTTATTCCAAAATCATATCCAAAAATGATCAGAGAGGAAGTAAACTGGAAAGGCATGAGGGACGGGCTTAAGGGCCTCTCCATAGTCCCCTCCACCGTGGCCAGATGCAATATGGTATTTGAGCTCAGAGGGAATTAAATCAATTGCAGATTTTATTTAGCCTTTTACTCTTGGTAGCTTTTTGTCTTCCGTTTCCAAGTCCACAAATGCCCTAATACTTTTCTAGTAATGCAAATCAGATAACCAACCGTTTGGTTTAGTAGAGGGCCGGGTCCTCCTTCAATGGGCGGATTGAGACCCGGCTCCGTAGTTCTTGACCGTCCCTGGAAACTTGATGCCAAGAAGCTGCCGTAGCTGTGCGTGCGGTGTGTGGATGTGGCAAGTGGCACCATTTGTGTTAGAGTGGGTGAATGAAGACATGTAGTGTAAAAGTGCTTTGAGTGGAAAAGGAGAAGAGAATAGAGTCCATTTACCCTTTACTTAACACATTTCTTGTGAGCCTCTGATAGCGGAGAAAAAACCCTCTAAAACACAACATGGGGACCCAGTTTCAGGTTAAATAATTGGCATTTCTGGAAATGTACACAGTATTTAATGAACCAACTCAAATTGAAAAAGGGTTACAGTGAGAAACAAAATAAAACCTGCATTTCCTATCTTTCACATCATATCTAGTTTATACGGGTCAAAATATAAGTGTTGCAGCGCAGAAATGCAAAAAATAAGGAATATTCTAAAGACAATAGCTGATTAAGTGGACATTTATCTGCTTCTACTGACTTCCTGCTGCCTGACCCACATCAACACCACTTTACACATCTACCACTAGATGAAAGGAATGTAAGAGTATACATACTTTTGAAATTGAACAACACCAAAGTTTAAGCTAAGGAAAATAAATATTCCTTCGAATCACCGGAGAGAAACTATTACAGTACAGACATACTCAGTAAGTAGTGACTGGTAGATGTCTGAGGGCTCTAGCTGGGCTACAGACTCCGGCTTTAGGACCTGGAGGGGGACAACTGCTCTGCCCTGAATACTATGGGTGGGACCACTCTGGAGGAAGATCCCAGTGCACGACTTTAATGGAAACTCCTGCAACTTTCTTTCCCACAACTCTGATTCAAACTATTGCATTCATGAACTGCACATAGAGCAGCTCAGCACTAGTGGATCTATTTGTAAGCAAGCTTGAGGAGAACCTGGTGAATCATTGAAACCCCAACAAAGCGAGTGGTGAGTACTGAGAGTGAGAGAGGGGGAAGGGAGACTATGTAGAGCAGTGTTCAACTGGTAGGAAATGCTCAGGCATGTGAAAAGAGGCCACAGAGTCACATCTGTAATAATCCGTTCGACATTCTGCTGCAGATTTAAGCAGTTTGGTTTATCTTAGTGTTATTATTACATAACAACAAACAGAATAAAATTTAAAGTCAAAGTATGTTTCTCAAAGTTAGAGAGTTGGAACTTTTAAACTGGTTTCATCTGAAACATTTATTTTACCTTTAGTGGACAAATTATACTGAAGTCTTTCAAAATACATGTTTTTTCTATTGATGACTTTTACATATACTTTTGTACATTGAAACTTCACAAAATCATCTTTTATTCGTCAGTATGGAGATGATATGAATCTATTAATGAAATTACATCCCAAGCAAATGTAGCAATGTTAGTCACAGGGTAATTTACAGACGGTATGTTTTTATCATGTCACATGCAACTCCGATCATATTATCAGCATTTTATTTTGATCTGTAATTGGTGTGTTCTAACCTGCAACACAGAAAAGATACATTTCCAAGTACTTTAAACAAAAGACAGTGGTTAAAGAGTAATGGAGGCTGAATGTCTTTTTAAAAAGGGATCTTGGTCAGACATCTCTCCCGTGTTTCTTTGTGAGCCTGTTGAAACGTGTCTATGACGCTGCTGAAAAGAGACTCCTTGTCTTTACCATTCTACTCTTTTAATTCATTTTACTTAGAAGCTGCTACTCAGCCGCTTCATCTATCGGTGCACAGCCAGACAACAGTTCTTATAGTTAGATAAACCAATAACCAGCTACATGCACAAAACGGGCTCTTCTAAAAGTACAAATGCCCTCTATATACGTGGACTGGAATGAAGTCAGGACATTGGTTGAGTGTGTGTCAGCCAGTGGTCACTCTTCTACACTGTGAGGAGCCAATCAGCATCAGCCACATATATTCCCCGATAGACACTTTTCATAATTATGAATGTTTTGTGTTGCCAAGACATGGAGGACTCGGACCAGGGTGGCTGATACGTTAGGCTTAGTTGCATCCTGCAGCTGCCTACGTGGCTGTTATGTAAGGCTTGCCTTGAGGTCTACCGGGTGAGATTTCACTGGAGGGGTATCAGCTAACCCAGCCCCCCCTCTGCTATGATCCCCTAGCAATTAATATAGTATCAGCATGGGATTGTGTATCCCTATATTTCAATGGGTGATTTCTCAATACTTTGAGAAACAAAAAATAATAATTAAAGAGTTAACCTTAGGCCTTCTTGTTAGGTCAGCACATGAATGACTGATGTTTGCCTGCATGTCTTCTCGTGGGTTTCCTCCAAAGCGTTGCACCATGTGGGTCCCCAACCTGGCAGCCCTGGTCCTCCTGGCCACGACAGCGGCCGCCGCCACCTCGGCCTCACCAGACCAGGTCCTGAGTAAACACGCCACCACCCTGGCCGACACCAGTGCAAAGCTGGCTTTCAGTCTCTACCAGAACATGGCCAAGGAAAAAAGCGTGGAAAACATCCTCATATCCCCCGTGGTTGTGGCCTCCACTCTGGGGCTGGTGGCTCTAGGGGGCAAAGCTGCCACTTCCTCCCAGGTGAAAACCCTTCTGAACGCGGCTAAAGTCAAAGACGAGCAGCTGCACTCTGGGCTGGCAGAGCTCCTGACCGAGGTGAGCGACCCCAAGACCCGCAATGTCACCTGGAAGATCAGCAACCGCATGTACGGACCCAGCTCCGTCACCTTCGTGGAGGATTTTATCAGGAGCAGCAAAAAGCACTACAACTGTGACTACTCCAAGATAAACTTCCACGATAAGAAGAGCGCCGCGAGCTCCATCAACGAGTGGGCGGCCAAGTCTACCGATGGCAAGCTCCCCGAGGTCACCAAGGTTGTGGAGCAGACTGACGGGGCAATGATCGTCAATGCCATGTTTTTCAAACGTGAGTCCCCGGCACGAGATGTGTGTATGTGCGGCGGTATTTCTTGAAATGCTCTTGGAATGAATTGTTTCTGTTGTGTCTCACAGCTCACTGGGATGAGCAGTTCCATCATCAGATGGTGGACAACCGCGGATTCATGCTGCCCCGTAGCTACACTGTTTCAGTACAGATGATGCACCGCACAGGTAGGAGGACATGGATACCACGCAACACGTTGGACACTTCAGAGAATGCATCAACATTTTTGGAAAAAAACTCCATATAGTTGAGCTTCAAAAATCTTACATTTTGAAGGCTATTTTCCTGCAGTAATCAATCAATTGTTTGATGAGAGAATCAGTGTGATGCTAACTTTGAATTGGTCTACAAGAAAACATCATCGCTGCAGCGCTCATTTACAATGTATTAAGCCCTAAACATTTTGAGATTATGAAAAGTATCAACGACTGTACAAAGAGAGCCTGATATGAATGGTAAGATAGTCCTGATGGCTACGTGGCATGTGAGTGAATGGGTGAACGGTGTGTTGTGTCAAAAGCGCAATACAAGTAAATTAGATTGGAATACTGCAAATAACCACATATCCAGCCCAGAGGTCTTTAACAAACATCCTTTCCTTAGACCACATATGTAAAACTCAAGGTGAATTTATCTTTGGCCTGAAGGATAATATTTAATTCCTATTGGAGCAGGCCGGGGTGGCACGGTGGCGTGGTGGTTAGCACTGTTGCCTCACAGCAAGAAGGTCCTGGGTTCGATTCCGCCCAGTGGCCTTTCTATGTGGAGTCTGCATGTTCTCCCCGTGTCTGTGTGGGTTCTCTCCCACAGTCCAAAGACATGCTCTGGGGATCAGGTTAATTGGGGACTTTAAATTGCCCGTAGTTGTGTGAATGTGAGCGTGAATGGTTGTATGTCTCTGTGTAGCCCTGCGATTGGCTGGCGACCAATCCAGGATGTACCCTGTCTATCGCCCGAAGTTGGCTGGGATGGACTCCAGCCCCCCCGCGACCCTGTGTGCAGGATAAGCGGTTTGACAATGGATGGATGGATGGATGGAGCAGGCCGGTATATTAGAAATAGCTACTATCCCCAATTAGTCCACCAGATGTCGCACTGTGTGAGCGAGCCGTGGGTGGGTGAATCACTGTGTGAATGAGCGCATGCCACATGAAAATTAGTGGTGAAAATGCACCAACCGCGCGCACCGGTCGACTGGACCCTCGCCTATGATTTTACCGGTCTGGTCCACTCGAGATCAAAACCTAAAATCTAAAACCAAACCTAAAATGAGTTTCTAGACCATTGCAGATAAAACATCCAATTTCCTACCGTGGAAAGAAAATACTGCTTTCTGTGTGTTTAAGTTGGGTGACTTCGAACGTGTCAGGGATGACTCAAATTGATCAATAAGTCTGTGCAATCTCATCAATGCTAAAAATTAGAGAGATTTCATGTTTCATGTTTCCTCAGGACTCTATGGCTTCTATGACGACAAAACCAACAAGTTAACTCTGCTTAGCATGCCTCTGGCTCATAAGAAGTCCACTGTGGTGGTCATCATGCCCCACCAAGTGGAACCTCTGCAGAGGCTGGAGAAGATGCTCACCAGGAAGCAGCTGGATACGTGGATGGGCAAACTGCAGCAGACGGCGGTGGCCGTGTCTCTGCCCAAAGTCACCATGGAAGTCAGTCACAACCTGCAGGTAGGACATGCAAAAGAATGGCACCTCGGTCATTGCGTCTAGCTTATTTGACACAATCCAAACATCTGCTCCTGTTCAGAAACACCTCGGGAAGCTGGGCCTGACGGAGGCCGTGGACAAATCCAAAGCTGACTTGTCCAAAATCTCTGGGAAGAAGGATCTCTACCTGGCCAGTGTGTTCCACGCCTCGGCCATGGAATGGGACACCGACGGCAACGAGATGGACTTGAGCCTCTTTGGCACGGACAAACTGAAAGACCCCAAACTGTTCTACGCCGACCATCCTTTCATCTTCCTGGTGAAGGACCAGAAGACAAACTCCATACTGTTCATAGGCCGGATGGTAAGGCCAAAGGGCGATAAGATGAAGGATGAGCTGTAACCTCATTCACTTAAAAGCCTCGCTGCGTGCGTGTCTCTATATTTCCGACTGCGACAGAAGTGGGAAATGAAAGCGCATTCCTTCACGTCACATGCCAACAACATTCCACAACACATGGCTGAAGACATGTAAACATTTGATCCTGTGTTTTGGTGAGCAAAGCATTTTTTTACTGTCCTTTCCTCTTTTATCTTGAAGAATTTGAGATATCATTTTTTTTGTCCCATTACAATGTGGACATAAGACTTACATTAAGTATGATTTCCCTTATTAGCCCCTAAAATTCTGTTGTCTTAACAATGTTTGTAAAAGGTGTACACCTACCAACTTCTGGAGAGATTTGATGGTGCTTGTTGTATGTTTCATTTTGTAAGCACGGCGGCTTTAATTTGTCAACCCTGAGGATATTAATATTTGTTTACCCATCCTTTGCACTGCTTTCTGCCACGAGTATTTATGCTACGTTGCTGTTTTTCTTAGTGTTGGCTCTTCTTTAATGCACTGAACTACATTGGCAAACACACCAAAGCATGGCAGATTTAAACACAACAATTTATAACACATTTTTTAGACATGCATAGTTTTAGACTGTTACAAATTTCCAGTTTTTGCAATAAAAGCGTGGGAAGAAACATGGCTCATCTTGATTTCAGATCATTTGTGCTGACATTGTCCGTCGTGTGAGTTACAGTTTGCCTTGATTCGCTAGCTCGGATGTCTGTTTGCAGGTGCTATTTGGCCTAGGGCGGGTCGGGGGGGGCACATACTGCATGGCTCCTAATCAGACTACTGCACATGTTTAGACAAAACACAAATGTTCACCGTACATCCAGATACAGGTCTGTCAGCAGCTCCAATGAGCAAGGCACGGGTAGAAGCCACATCCTCATAGCTGACTGCTAGGAGGAGGCTGACTATGAACACTCAAACACTGGGCCAAGACCAACTGGTTAAATGTATAAGGAAAATTGGTTCATTTCAGTTTGCTTGACTACGAGTAGTTCAAAGTACATGTATTCATCTGTGAAAAGAGAATTTTCTTATTGCATTATCAGACCCTCATCTGTTGGACCAATTGCATAACTTGTAATCTATCACAAAACAATTATTGTAGTATTACATAATGGCTGGGCCATGTCAATAGTTATATTTAGCTATACAGCTAAGCAAAGGGGGAACATGAAGGGAACAGATTTAGGCCTTTACTTACCATTCAGACGAATCAGTCAGATAATCAGGCAGAATGATCAGCACATCATTTTTGTATTAGAAATGTCTTTACTTTTATGACTTTGAGAATTATAATATAAAACATGTCTACTATTCCAGGGAGTACCTTAAATAAAGCGTTTCTGTCTAGTGGAAATGACTCCGTTTAGACTGCGGCGTCCACATCTTTAATTGGGGTGTTCCGGTGCTTTTACTAGAGCTGCTTTACCTGAAAAAAGATCATCGGAGCTGTTGGTGTTAAATGTCCTTCAATAATGACTGTGGAATAATTCAGAAGCTGATATGATATGTGAGACGTCCCACTGTTCATCTTTACTGTATTGTGGACCCGTGTTCCTCTTTTGTCGAAACAGCTCGATAAATGATGTCCAATTACTGCTGATATTGCAATAAAGAACAGGTGGGAAACTATTTTATCTGTTGGTCTTTCCATATGTAATGTACGCAGAAAAATAACAAGTATTTATTTTCAGTTTGCAATTAAATAGGCTACTTTAGAGGTGTTATGTGTAATGCCCTTATAACATAATAATAATAACTATATGTCACCAGGCGCCACATCCTATAAACATAAAAAACAAGGGTATTTGATTCCAATGTTAACAGGTTGCAGTTTGAATTTAAGCATCATATCAAATACTTGTTCGCTTTGTGATAAGGGCACCGTGTCACAATGCGCAGGCCAGGCCGTGTCCGCACACATGTACCCGCCTTACTGCGGTTGTACTGAAGAGGAGGAGGAGGAGGAAGAGGAGGAGGAAGAGGAGGAGGAAGAGAGGAACTGGGAGGAGGAGGAGGAAGAGAAGAAATGGGAGGAGGAGGAGGAGGAGGAGGAGTAGGAGGAGGAGGAAGAGAGGAAATGGGAGGAGGAAGAGAAGAAAAGGGAGGAGGAGGAGGAAGAGAAGAAATGGGAGGAGGAAGAGAAGAAAAGGGAGGAGGAGGAGGAGGAAGAGAAGAAAAGAGAGGAGGGGGGGGGGAGGAGGAAGAAGTGGGAGGAGGAGGGGGAGGGCTCGCGCAGTGTTGTGCTGATGGTACTACCAACCCGTTAGCAGCCGCAGCCTCCTCCTCTTCCATCATGGCTCCCTCGGCGGACAGGCAGGGATACTGGGGCCGGCCGACCTCAACGCTGGACTGGTGCGAAGAGAATTATGTCGCCTCCTTTTACATCGCCGAATTCTGTAAGTGAAATATATCCCGCTCTTTGTCGGTAGACCGGCGGGGGGTGCCGTGTCCGTGGGCAGACACGGGAGGAGGGGCCGGCCACGTCGCGTGGCTCCCGGAGCGCGAGCAGCAGCTGTAATAAATAAACAAATCAAATAAAGCAGCGGATTTGTGTTGCCGTTTTACCGCGGCTCGTCACGTTGTGAGCTAATGAGCTAACCGTTAGCTAGAGCTAAGGAAGGCTCGCCCACCTGCACACAATGCAAGCTCATATTACACGAGTCTATTCCAAGTCGTCCACTGACGAGGCGCCGTGCGCGGTCCCGTCTTGTCTTTCATCGCAAGGCGCATTTTAGTCATCCACGCTGAAACTGCTTGATGAAACCTTTCCTCCCACCGTCGGGGTAAAGGGTTTCGTTTTCTAATAAAAGCACCACAGCTTCCCACGATTCAGAGATCTGAGATCCAAACATCGTCAGCTGATCCATAAGCAGCTGTGTCAGCGAAACGCATCGAGCCGGACTTCTACTGGACGCACATTAATAACATCGAGCATAACTAAAGGCGACGTTTTAAACGACGTGTCTTCTGTGCAGTGCGTGTATTACGAATAACGGCAAAACCAAAGGAAACGCTTTTCAGAAATACTATCGCATTGAGCAGAATTCTATGGATTCACAGGTTGTAGAGTTGAAGGTGAAACAGTTTTTCGTGTGATTGTCACTGTTTGGACGTTGAGGACCTTGTTGCTGTTGCTAAGGGCTTCAACAGTTAGTCCAGCAAAGCGGAAGCCAAGTGGGCCAGAGTTCAGTTTATATTATTGCTCTTTTATCTCCTGTGTATTTTGTCCTCCATGCCCCGCCTTTGTAGTGATACACTTACTTTTAAATGGGACACAAAGTGTCACAAATGTGTCACGTTAGTTGTACAACACATGTTTGCAGGCTACTCGGCCGGCAGAGCGTGCACGCTCGATTCATTGTTTCTACAACACAAGCGATGGTGTGAAAGCTGCGTATCAACAATCATGACAGTCAAAGCTTTTGTTTGCACAAATGAGGCGAGCAGGCCCGGGTAGAATTGTTTAACATTCAAACGTGGATTCAGGTTACAATGGCTGGAATGTGGCGTCGTTCACAGTGGAAAAGACCCGAGAGACACCGGTGGGATTTAATCCTCATTTGACGTGTGATCTGTAGGTCAGCACGTGGAAGAGAGCACAGGCAAGGGAGCTCACAACCAGGCTGTCATATGGCACACAGGGAGCTGATGGAATTCACATGTTTGCCCTTGTCATGGAAATGTGAGAAATAAGAGACTCCTATGTTGTATTGCTATTCGGGTGTGTGCGTTTATTACCAGTAACAGACTGATAATAGAGGCAGACTGGTAACAGGCCCCTGCAGATAAAGGCGATGTGTCCATGCCAGCAAGCACCGGCAGAGTGGCAGAATTAGTTTAATATTACTACTTGGAAACTGGTCCTTGGGGCTTGCAGTCCGTCTATTGACCAGCTTTGCTGAACCATAAGCACCTTTTTATGCTTCACACTAACTCTGAAACACGCCTTTGGGAAATAAATACACACAGCTCTATTAGACTTGGCTAGTGTTCTGAAAACTGCCATTGAAATCCTAGACTCCATTATCGTCACCTGTATGAGGGTAAGATTCGAGTTTGCTCTTTGGCGGAAACAATGATAGAGAGAATTAGAGGGCTGCCATTAGTTGACAGTAATATATGCAGATGTTTCTCACTGAACGCTCTCTGCCGTCGTGTCACAGAGGAACTTTGTGCCAGGATATAGCGTTTGATAATGGATGAAAACTCTTGCGTTATGGGTTGTTATTTCTAAGACCTGAGCAGACTCTAGTGGAACAGTCAGGCAAGTTAGTGTGAAAACCAGAACCACCACACTGGACAAACCTACCTGCTAAAGCAAGCAGTGTAACCAATTAGACCTTAAAGGTGGATTAAGACTCTACAGTGTATTTACCCTTTGCACAATGTGCAAGCATGATTATAAATACATGTTGAATGTGTTAGAGCTCTTTCTAATAATATTTGTTCATTGTTTTGCATCCAGCATAATCAATTATGGGCTGGCAATGTAAGCTGTTTTATGTGATTTAGTAGTAACTTGAAATGCTCCTTTTATTGCACTACTGACTTTTTCATAGTCAATAACCGTCATTGTAGGTTAATCCATCTGCGGAGCAACAGTTTTTTAAGTTGAAAACAGAATATGTTTTTTTTAAAAAGTAGATTCTGTCTCTAAAGACTTATTTTGCGCTAAGCTTATTGCCAATAGACAGACTGGGACAGTGGTGGTGATGTGGATTAGCCAGCAGTGGGGGAGATTGCCTCTACAGACGTCTCATTTGTCTCATTTGTCTCTTTTGTCCCTTTGAACAGGGAACACGGTCAGCAACCTGATTATGATTCTTCCTCCCATTTATGGGGCTGTCCAGACGTTCCGAGACGGCCTAGAGTTTCGCTACATCTGCTCTTTTCTCGGACTGGCAGGTTAGTCCGATGAAACCACACAATCCACCTCTTTACATATCATGCTTATTATCCAACATGGAGTTATTTCTGTCTGTGCTGTCAGTCGTGTTTTCTGACTATGAAATGTTGTTGCCTGTGCATCTCCCAGCTGTTGGTGTGGGTTCCTGGTGCTTCCACATGACGCTGATCTATGAGATGCAGGTGAGACACCGTGTTAAATAAAAATTGTACTATGTCAGCAAAATGTGAGACTGTTATTGTTGCCGTGGGAAATATTTGTAATGGTTTTACAAGGTCAAACATTTTCTGCCTAAGACAATGTGAAGTTATGTGGAAGCAATGCAATCCTAGAGTGACATTAATGTGTGTGTGTCTCATTTGCAGTTACTGGACGAGTTGCCAATGATTTATAGTACATGCGTCTTCGTCTACTGTCTGTAAGTAGCTCCACCTTCTGGGACTACTGCTGTTAAAGCAGTGATGACATCTTCTCGTGCCTATTGATTTTAAACTGGACACGAGTACTGTTCCATTTCATCAGTGTTCAGGTCTATGTTACAGCTGTTATCATATATATGTGTGTGTGCTTGTGAGTTACTAACTAGAAAACGCGTGTTTTTTTTTCTTAACCAATATTAGGAGAACTCCACCTCAGATTCACAAGACTTTAGAGTTTAATTTCCTCCTATTCTGCACAATATTGGGAAATATATCTTGGACTTTCAATACCATAATATCATATTTCTGGTTTTAAAGGCTCTACTACAGTGAAGTATCGGTTCAAGCTGATCTATTATTTGAGGTTATTCATTATTTCCAGATTACTGATATTTTTTTCTTCTCAGAAACCATGTTGTGTAAATGTGTTATAAAAGCACTGATAGTAAAGCCTCCAATACTGTTTAAACATCGAGGTATTTGGCGAAAGGATTGTGATATTTATCTATGTATAAATCGCCCAGCCCTACATTCCAAACATTAACAAGGTGCCTGGAGGCATTCACGGGACCTTTTGGTTAGGAAGGTCTTAGAATCCTAAACTACTGTATAATAACGATACATGAGTGGTGGGTGCTCGCTCTGGGTAGCAAGGCCAGAACAATGAGGCCCTTAAGGCACCCAGATCTGCACCTATAGAGGAGGGAGAGCAGGTTATTAGATGCTCTATTATTAATGTTTATTTAAGGGGAAAAACCATAAGACAAACATATCTGTTTTTTTCAGATATGAGTGTTTCAAAGAAGAGAACAGAGTTGGTTTATTACCCATCACCTTACTGTTAATCTTCAGTGTTTCAGTCACTGTGGTGAGTATCCACTTCCTCTATGATCATGGTTTTGTTCTCACCTTAATGCCAATGAAGCACGTCCTTAATCATATCCTCTTGAGCAGTTCCTGTGTTTGTGTTGGCAGGTGTACTTGCAGTGGAAGGAGCCGGTCTTCCACCAGGTGAGGGTGTGCCCTTCGTCACGCTTAACTGCCGACGACTGCTCATTGTTTGCTATGTGTGCCTCCAGGCCTTCTTTAGTGTAAACATGTTGGGCTTACCAACAAAGCACACGCCACTCAGTTTGGTCTAGACTGCTTGTATAGAATTCCATTAAATCTGCTAACTAATGCAACATCTCACATTTTTTACTGTTTATTAATATGTAGCATTTGCTATGTTCCAAACTCCATGGGACCTTGTGAAAGAACATCTTATATTCTTATCTTAGCCTTCTTTGTGCTCATACGAGTGTGCAAAGTTCAGATAATGGTGCGAATGACCAGCGTGGACATGATGAATGCACCACGGTGTCAATGAGTGCTTTCAAAGCCACGAGTCCGGCCCCATGCGTCCTATATTGAACTTCTTCATTCAGAGATCCAGAGCGGAGAGTCTCTCAGTACGACAGCAAGCAGCAGAATTAAGGGACCTGCTAAAGACGCAAATAACTAGTGCTGTTCATGTCACCAAAGGATCATACTCTTTGAAATAAAGAAGAAATCGTTCCATATATAAAATGTGACAATGGAGAAGCATTATTTTAAAATGTTGATATTATTGTGCTGTACAAAAGCATCAATAAATTGCTGATATATAGTGAAAGACCTCAGCCTGGAAAAAAACAGACAGTCTGGACCGCTTGTAAATGGTGTAATCTGACAGATATGTAAATAGGGAAAATTATTAATGTTGTGCTTTATCGCTGGTACGAGACACTTAAGAATCTTCTGGCAGTCTCAAGGTGTGTAAGCAGCAGCAGAGTAATGTGACAAAGCTCACCCCGGTTTCCCTTTGGAACCAACTTTAATTACTGATCACACAACTCAATGGGGTTTTTAAAGAAGTCTGAGTGTTTGCTTTTAAATAGATAGAGTAGTGAATGCATGTAGCATTCATGTTGACTTTGTTCATTTAAGTGGATTTGTGGAATGTAACAAGCAACAAATGTATACTTGTGCGTTTACTTCAATCCAACCAGGTCTACTTGTGACCATTTCAGATGATGACTTAGTTCACAGCTCAACCAAGTGGGAAACCCAAAGAAAGTGTTGGATGTTTGAACATTTATTTTTTATCTTCTTAAATCCAGCATCATCTTCACTGCTCATTGTCTTCTTCTAGGTCATGTATGGTGCTCTCGTGGCCAGCCTAGTGATGCGATCTGTCTTCATTGTTACATGGTAAGTTTACAAGTACATTACCATATAAATTAAATGCATGTTCATTTATATTCATAAAACAACAACTTGCTCAAGGTGTTTTCCTTTGTTTCCCTTTTAGGGTGTACCCATGGCTCCGGTCGCTGTGCTACACCTCCTTAGGAGTCTTCCTGTTAGGATTCTTACTGTGGAACATTGACAACATCTTCTGTGACACATTAAGGTGAATATCTGCATTAGAAAAACAGCATCAGTCTCTTTATTATGTATTGACGTGCTTGATTGTGAGAATATAGTTGGTTATCATCCATTTAACAGCATCGGTGTGGACAATGTGCAATGATATTAACCTTTATGTGATATCTTAACAATAATGTAAATCATGTTCTTACCTCAAGGACAAGTCAGGCAGCTCAAAGCAATATCAGCTCGTTTACATAACATGCGTGATGCATGGTTGGGTTTTCATTCACATTCAAACATTTATAACGACAGTTAATATACGCATCCTCTTCTTTAATCCCATACTGTTTTTTTATTGACGGAAGTAGTTGAGTCTGGACTTTCTTTGGCCTTTTAGAACCAGTAGGCAGACGCTTCCCTCTGGTGTTGGAGTAGTAACACAGTTCCATGCTTGGTGGCACATCTTCACAGGCCTCGGGTCCTACCTGCACATCATTCTCAGGTGAGATTGCGTTTCAGCAAAAGGAGAGAGCTAGAGTGACTATTGCGCCCAGCTGTGAAATTTTGTTTTCAGGTTGTCTGTCGGCGCCCAACTATTATCATGAACGTGACATCACTGTAAGCCATCGTTGGCATCTATGCAAAATTGTCTCAATCGTTCGCTTGGATTCAAGTAAGAATTGACTAGGATGAAGTGGTCACCTTTTTAATCAGTTATAAATCCATTTAATGATTCAGGAAAATGTATAATAGGATAGAAGTATGAAGTGATGACATTTATGACTAACTGACTGGTTGGTGAGATGTGCTCGTTGGTTTTCAAATTGGATGTTGATCTTCTTTTAGCCTCCAGATCAGGTCAACCTACCTCAAGCACAGACCAAATGTAAAGGTATGTCCAGCCCTTACCCAGCACCTTTTATTGAAATACATTCATTCATTTGTGTATGGATCCCTACATGATCTGCCCTCTCTCATCCTGACTATGTCCAGTTCCTTTATGGAGTTTGGCCCACGCTGCACATTGATCCACAGAAGACGAGTTGAAATGACGTGCGAAGGGGCCGATTGAAGACCGGTGACTGTTACATCATCAGCACGGGGACCTGCCAAAGGCACTGATGGGAACTCAGCCCACAGCTAGAGGGCAGCTGGACACCAAGGCACCCCCCTAGATACCCCAGGGTGCTGCACTGTGGAGATTCTACTAAGAACAGTAAAGCACTGAATCAAGTTTTAAGAAACAGAAGATTTGTTTCATAATTTGTTAGATTAGCAATTATGTAATTTTTAAAGTGTAATAATTGTAGTTTCTCATTCAATTTAACTGCAATTATGATGTGGAGGCCACTGCAGTGGTAAAGAAGGGGTGTGGTTGTTATTTTATATAGGGCTTAGGAACAGGGAAAAGCTAAATGAACTTAAATAGATGTCTAAACTAACGTGTAACTAAGACTTCTTCAAATGTCTACTTTTAACACAGTGTTGTTATCCCATTTCAAGGAGTATTCTATTGGATGGGATCACTACATTTTGGATAACAGGTGCCAACTAAAAGTGAAAGCAAGAATGTGTTATTTTAGCTCAGCTGTCTGGACGGGACGACCCTCCTTCATTTTTACCTTACGTAAGTTTTCCTCTTAAAACATGCCAAGAAGGGAACAATTAATTCCTCTTTTCTTTCTCGGCCACGTCTGCTGTGGGATTCAAAAACTCATTTAACATGGCATGCTTCTCAGTGTTTCACCTCCTCGTATTCCAGAAAGAAATGCAATGATCACAACATTATCACACGTGATTTTATTGTTGTTTGGGACAAAGTTAAGTTTATAAACAGTAGGGAAAGCAGGTCAATCACTTTTGACAGGTTGAGTTTCCCAGGACAGACGAATGCTTTCAATTTTTAAAGTGACGCGGCACACAATATGTTAAAGAGAAAAATGTCCTGTTTTTGGAATGTTAATTCGGTAATAGAAAGTAATGTGTGTTTCAATCATTGCGTCCTCATTGGCTGGAGACGGTTAGGTACTAGACACACTAGTTTAGCCTGCTGCTTTGTTAGAGTAATTTTTAACCGGTAGCTTTTAGTAGAAGTAGAAGTCAAGACTAGACAATTCCACCACATTTGATTAATGACACTTATTTAAGTCCTCTTTTATTTTATTTATTTACACCGTCGCATGAAGCTGAAGAGTCCAGTGGCGCATATATCTTATATCATAACTCCTGTCTGGGAAACATTTTACGATACAACCGCCAGGTGGCATCATTCTCCAGCTTATTTCAGACATTGCCAAACATTCCAGTGTGCATTGATAAAGCTTCTACCTACAGTAGTACTCGTAGTATCTTTGACCTGGCGCTCCTGTGAGGTGTCCGTGGCGTGGAACAAGGGAAGGATTTATTGGTAGTATGTCTTGCTGCTGTGAGTACGTGGATATGTAATGGTAACAATAGAACCGGGAGCCTCCAGGAAGTGTTCGGAGGTGCCCATCGCACAGCTTTTGTTGTTGGTAGGCCTGCTGAACTGTTACTGAGACACCATAAATCTGTGTTTCATCACGCATGTGCACGCTTCGTCACACTGCTTGGGTGTAACTACAGGGTAAAACAAGAGTTACGAAGTCCTCACAAGCACAATGTGGGAAAGAAACAGTATTAATATTGTTCAAATGTCTGTGTGGAACCTTAATGTTATATTATTATCATTAACATCACTGTCCATCAGCTGCCAGAGAGGGTGCCTTATTGTTATCCTTACGGTCCAAGTAATCCTAGTTGCCTTGAAGTCGGTGGGAAAACAGAACCATTCAAATGTTCAATTTATTTCTCGTGTTCAACATGTTTGCCACAGTTCCTTCTCATGATGTTAACTGTTTCTGTTAGTTCAAAACACGTGTGGATGCCGGAGGAGCAGACTCTGGTCATGTGCCAGACTTTAATGATGTCCTGTATTGTCAAATAAAAGAAAATGTGTTCGATCATTTGGCCGTTGTCCTCTTTTCGTCTCTTACAGCAAATGTATGTCAATAATAACCGTGGAAACACTAACGTGTGAGTCATGCTTTCTTTATCTACAGATTTGATCACATCTAATGTTATATTGTTTGGAGTCTTGAGTCAGCTCCAGGAGTCATTCTGTGGCCCTCTGAAGGTGATGGCATGTTTCCGTTGTCAACCCCCATGGATCAGGTTTGGTTTGAGCCAACTGGCAGACTGGTTTGAGCCAACTGGCAGACTGGATTCAGATATCTCCCTAATGTTTCTTCCCTTGTTTTGTGGGTGGGGAGTTTTAAACTGTACACGTGTGAGGGTCCAAGGACAGAAGGTCCTATATTGTGCTGATTGTAGAGTTTTGAGAGGCAAATTTGTGGGTTTGTCTTTACAGAAAAGGTGCAGCTAATGTACTTTGAAAACAGAACCTTCCAACCAGTGCGGTAGTGGTAAAATTAGAGATGGGTAAACTATGAATTTTGTGATCAGACCTCGACGCGATGGAACGCTGTGTGAAGCATTATGTTATCAGTTATAAAGTCATATACAATCAATGACAGTCAATCAATGTGTTTGTAGTTTATTACATTTCAAGAAAACAGTAAACAAAAGTATGTGTAGGCCTCAAAAAAATGAAGGGGGTGGAGGGGGAGACAAAAGAAGGGACCTCTATTAGGACCTTAAAAAAATGAAGGCCTCTGGAAACAGGCCCAGAGTGTTACAGCTGAACCGTGTGATATAAGAAAAAGCCATCCTGCAAGTTAACACTTCCCCTGCTCCTTAACCATTAAGAGAAAGCTCCAAAAGTCAACGGAACTAATGAATCCATCTGAACAGGCGGGCTGATCCACAACGTGTGTTTACATGCTGACTGGTGTAGCCGCCGCCGGGCGCTGATTGGAGGGTCACAGACCAGAAAATGATCAGACTACAGCGTTTATATGTTCAACAATATGATTAAATCAGGTGATAAAAAATGACACCAAATTTATTTGGGGTTATTCCAACGAAAGAATACAAGGCGCAGGTAACTTTGAGGTGCGTAAACCCTATTTCCATAATTCCAGAGGTGCTAAAATGGCGTTTACGTGTGTTAACCATTCACTACAGCCCTGCTCCCAACTATATGTGTCACAGAGCGACCAAACACCAGTGTACATGACACTAATAATAATAATAGCTGTACAAACACAGCAACCCACTCAATGCAGAAGTTGAGGAAGTATGTTTTTGCAATAAAAACCACAGCCCTGTCAGGGCTCACATGTGTGACACAAGGACTTTTACTGTAAGTTTGGCTCCTTTTGTCACTGGATCCTTGGTCAGACGCATGGGTTTGTCATAAGGGAGTTGGCCGCAGAGTGGATGTAGGCGTGTGTTTACTGGGGGTTTGTGATGACGGTTCTGTGCAGTAAAGCATGTTCCTGCGAAAAAAGTGACTAAGCATAATGACAGTTGTGGGAAAGGGAATTGGGAATTGACTAATTTAAAGATCAATTTAAAATCCTTTTGTGGTGTATTTTAGCTTTTGATATTAAGCAAAGTGAAAAGCTACATCTTTGATTACAACGAAAGAGATAATTTTATGTAACAAGCTTCATCAGCCAGGCTCCTCACTATTTGCAGATAATTAGAGACCAACATGGTGGTCATGAAGCGGCCAAACTAGTAAGCCAATATATGACTTGTTGATCTAAAGCCTTTACAATTTGAAAAAAAGGCAGCACCTTGACGTGATCTTTTATTTAGCCTAATTGAGAGGGGTGAATTTAATAAACATTTACAATTTATATATATAATTATCCTACATCTACTAGATTTCTATCGTGTCACATAAGCTCTTGAATCCCGTGGGCTTCTGATAGCAAATCAATTAAGTGCTACTTTTGCAACTCCAAGGTTTAGTAGAATAATCTGGATTTCTAAACGACTCACTCATGCTAAACACTTTTCTGAGCTTTACCCTGTGATAAGGCGGCAATGAGACAAATGAGACAAACAAGATCACGACTCTTTGCTGTCCTCGCGCCGAAATGGTGGAATGAGCTCTGTGATGACACCAGGACTGCAAAGAGCCTTTATATCGTCCGCCACAAACTAAAGACACACCTCTTCAGACTCTACCTTGTCTAAAAACACTAACAAATTTGTATCCTTATGGTTGAAATGTAAGTATTGTAAGTCGCTTTGAATAAAAGTATTTTGAATTTAAAATAAATGACATGTAATGTAATGTAACAAATAGTACATGTACACAACTGTATATTCCTTGACATCCATGTACAGTCGGAAGAGCAAGGTTCAGTAGTGAAGTATAATTTAAGCATTTATAGGCGACATCACATTCTTCTTTGGGCATTAAACATAAACATGGCGTGTGGTGCGGAACATTCCACTAGTGTTGTTGTCATTTACTGCATGAACAGTCAACATGAATGTGGTATTTGTTATGAAACAGTCAAGTTACTCGCCGATGCTGATAATGTAGCGGTACTCTCCACACATCAGTCAGGCTGGCACCGGTTTTTATCGCCTGGCTTGAAACAACTGTGTTGGTCTGTTGAGAAAATTTGGAAAACACCTGAGATGTGATGACCAATCTGTAGACTCCCCCCCCTCCTTCTCCCTCAAACCGCCTGGCATGCACACAGCTCTTTACTGTTCTTCCTGAACATCTAAAACACTGATGGGGAAACTTTAATTGCATAAAAGTTCGTTTTGAAATGATTTGGCATCTTCCCATATGTTGACAAAAGGAGTTCACAGTGTACTTTGCGCGCATGTGTTTGCTGATAAAGATATCTGGGGGAGAGATCTCATCCACCAGACGCTTCAGATTTGATGTAACCCAGTCTGAGCCTGAGGCGACAAAGAGAAGATGACTCATTCTTTCCTGTGTTTAACAGCTCTAATCAGCAGCATTCTCCCCCACTTCCTTTAACTCTGTGTCACAGTAGTTGTGTCCATGCTGTGAGCTTTGGTCCTTGTTTAGTGGAGCTACCAGAGGCCCAGAACGAACCGGGTAACCACAAATAACCGGTTTAATCTGGGTGACGACTCGTCCACACTGAGCTGACTCATGTTGGGAATGCCGGAGTTACTGAAAAGACGGATCAGTGGTTTGGCAGACCTGCGGAAAGACGTCACTGCTGAGACACATGTCAGTTGCCACATTTCTTTGTTCTCTTAGGAATACTTCATATCTATACAATATTACTATATACATACTATACTATACATATTAGTTACAGATTTTATATATATATATATATATATATATATATATATATATATATATATATATATATATAAATATATACATATAACGGCATTCCAGCTTGATGATAATGCATTCAATGTCCAATGAATAAATATACACATACATATATACACATATGAATACGTATGTACATTTGATATTACTTATGAAGTATTTTTAGTTTTCAATGCATTGATATTTTATCAGTACTCTGTGTTGGGACTAATCAAAAATTAGAATATATTTTATAGATATAAACAAATACACAGAATTTAATTTAGATTAGATACATTTAGACGATTGTGTTCAAAAGAGGGAGCAGCAAGATAATAGGCAAATGTATCTTTGTGCTTATTGGAAACAATAAGCACAAAAAAAATAACAATAATGGAACATAATAACAGTGCTAACATGTTAAAGGTTAACCATGTCCCACATCTAAGTTGGTCAAATATACTAGATCTGGTTCTTCGCACCCCACTGCCGCGTTGTGAGCCTGCATCTGATTCCTGACGTATTTGGACAGTATGTGGTCATAAAAAAAGGTATTCAAATATGTACCTGCTATTACACACTTCATGAATGTATGTACCAAATTAAATACCGTGGGCATCCATCCAATCGTTGTTGACATTTCATTTGTGTAGCTGATGTACCTGATGTTGGAGGAAAAGTCAGAGAACAAAAAAACATCCCGTGGGTTGCTTGGGACAATGAATGTCTGCACAAAGTTTCATGGCAACACCTCCAAATATCATTGAGATATTTCAGTTTCGACTAAACTCTTGGACTGGAAATACTAAAAGACTATCCTGCCCCTCTCCATTTATTGGATATAATGGTTAGCTGCACTCTGTGTTGCAGACCACGGACACGGCTCACTTTTTAATTTAACCATTTTCTGTCATAACCACATTTTAGCACTTGCTTGGGGTTTGATGCAATTAGAATTTAAACATTTCCTGTGTGAGCAATGGCGTACTCTGCCTTGTCATTTCTCATCCAACATGGCTTTCATCAGACACAGTAAGATTGCAACCTACTTGGGGAACACAAATCTTTACCACGTTTTCTTTATGCATGATATACAGGTACAATAAGCAGCAAGATGATGCTGGTAGGATTAGCGACACATGTGGAGCAGCAATGGCCAGGGATTCCTTCTCTTTTAGAAGCAGCTGTCTTCTACTAGACTAGTCACGTCACCTTCCTTTCATCATGAAATACGCTGCACATTTTAAAAAATGCTTTCATCAAATGAAATGCATAAAAAACAGCTACAGTTAATCACATAGTGGTTTACGTCATTGGCAGCATTATGTTGTGGCACAAGAGAACATGAGGTCAGATGAATGAGTAAACAAAGGTAGGCATTTTATTATGGCTGTATAAAGTGGTTTGTTACAGTCTTTGCAAGCTTTTAATAAGATGACACAACATCATTGCTGGAAACAGCATTTAGTGCAAGAAGAATGTCCACAGTGAAATACTGGTAAGGGAAATAGTTGAGGTGCTCCATTGAGCCTGATGATGAAGGTGCTGTCATCTGCTGTGTGTGTAAACACAAAGTGTTACGAAACACCTATATTCCGCCATAGCCACAACGTATGTATTACCAAATTGGGAAGTGATGATTCATGGAGAGAGGAGATTAAAACACTCACAGTATCAGTGCGTATTACAATGTTGTAATAAAGGCATCACCTTATTAACACTACACATTTTTCAGTG